GATAAATCCGTCACAAACAGCCAAACCAGGCGTAACAGGTGCCGCTGCCGGCACCGAAAGTTCTACCGACCAAGTAACTCTACAGGTCCAATTCCTTACCCAGAAAGGATGCCTCACGGCATTCGCATTTGCGACAGTGCCTCTCCACTCACCTTAGCCGATGAACCTCGGCTGGACGCAAGCACAAGCTTGTATTAAATGGCTACAAACCTTTCGGTCAGGTAAGACCGGAAGATCGATCCCCGGTTGGAAGTGAAATTCAAGCCCGGTTTCTCACCCGGCTAAGGAGATTAATACCTTGCCCGAAGTAATTTGGACGGAAAAAAGTTTTGCGCCAATTTCTTACCCCAACCTCGGTGAACTGAACCGGTACCATCAGGTAACCCGAGAAACGATGGCATGAGGCCGATGCCCTTCGCAGGAGCTTGAACTCCCGCCCAGAGGCAAGTTGGGCCCGTTGCTATCGCAGCCTACGAGACGGCAGCCAGCGACAGTCACGCTACCGGTGCAGTGGGGCATACGATCGCACTCACTCCCGTACGCACGCACTCGCATCGCCAGCGCCTGTAACCGACCAAAACGTCCGTACGAGCAATACGTCCGGCGGACGTTACGGTAGTTGAACCGTCCGGGGGGCCAAAAAGACGCCCGCCGTAAATTTTGCCCACCCGAATTTTTTTGCGTTTTCCATGCGACTAACAGCTCCCGACAGCTTTTTCAGCCTGAGCACTTTGGTCGGAACAGTGTTTCAGCCCGGAAACTTTGGCCGGAGCGCTATGTTAACCCCGACACTTTAGTCCGAGAATTATGTCGGCCCGGACACATTGGTCGGAGAATTATTACAGCCCGCACACTTAAGTCCGAGTACTATTTCAGCCCGGACAATTTGCTAGGAGCACTATGTCAGCCCGGACACTTTGGTCCAAGAATTATGTCAGCCAACAGATTGGTCGGAGTATTATTACAGCCCGGACACTTTAGACGGAGAAATTTATCAGCCCGGGCACTTTGGTCGCAGCATTATTCCAGCCCGGGCGCTTTGGTCGGAGTACTACTCCAACCCGGACATTCTGGTCTGAGTACTATTCCAGGCCAGACACTTTGGGCGGAGTACTATGGTATCTCAGGCAGCCGAATAGTTTGCCTGCGCTGCCACGTCAAAACGATGCGCTGCGCTTCGTATACCGCTGCGTCATCGAAGGTTATAAAACCAAATCTTGGTTTTTAAATTTTTAAGCCTTGCGTGCGGCGCCCGGCGCGTCTTTTTATGGGAAAAACCCGCTATCCCTTCTCACATTCATTGTGGAGAGTACCAAGTTTTTGTCGGGCTTCTTTTGAGGAAGAGATTGTATGTGAGGCCGCCGTTGATGGCCTGCAGTCAACAGCATTAGCCTCACCATAATTAAATCAATTATCGCAGTAGAATGCAGTAGTGAATAAAAAAAATGTTAAATCAGCTGAGGACGAGATTATATTGCAAAGACTCTGAAGAAAACGTACGGCAACTGAAGGTGCCTGTTTGCCAGTTTTCTAAACCTAAATAGTACCAGATAGTACCATGATCAAGCTGTCCGGGTGCGTTGACCAAAGTAGCCGGGCAGAACTATTGCTCCGACCAAAGTGTCCGGGATGAAAAAGTCCTCCGACCAAAGGGTCCTGAATGGAATATTATTCCGACCAAAGTGTCTGGGCTGACATAGTGCTCTGACCAAAGTGTCCGGGCTGCAAAAGCTGTCAGGAGCTTCTGGTCGCATCGAGAACGCGAAAAATTTGGGTTGGGAAAATTTCCGGCGGATGCGTTTTTGGCCGCCGGACGGTTTAGTCGGTCTAACGACCAAAACTTTCGCCGGGTGTCTTGGTTGTCCAGACGTTTTGGTCGGTTACGCGTTAGGCGTCTTCCTCTGTTTGGCTCGATATGCCGTTCATCAGCATTAGCTACCATTATCATTAACTGCACTTTCATCATCACGCTCACACCGAACTTTTCACGTGGTTTGTGTTTTGGTTTCTGGTGCATTAATGCAATCCACAATAAAGCCTTGTTTTCTCACTATCGTGAGCCTCTGTTCGCCTGCTGTCCCACTGCTAATGCACAACCTGGGCGGTGCGGCGGAAAACAAAACCGTCTCAAAATTTGTTTGCTTCCGGAAAAAGAGAACGTTTTGGAAACCGTCCTGATTGCAATTATACCGCCCTTGCAATAACACTGTGAAATTGCATTCTGCCGCGTTGGTAAATATCAATGCATCGCTTGGGCACGCTTAAGAAGAGCGATGCGCAGCTTTGAAGAATGTGTGTTTTGAGTTTTGATCAGTCACGGGCGTTTGCAGACTATCTGTACAGTACGCAACTGCACAAAGAAGTGTGCACTTCAATGATGCTGACCTTAACGGCAGCCTTATTAGTTACCTTCGGCCGCTAAAGCGTTCCTAAAAGTGTAAGTGACCTCTAATGCTTGAGTTGGCACTAATGACCAGTCTGCAGTTAGACCATCGGCATCCTTTTTTTACGCTGGCGCCTGCGGACACACCCAGGAAAAATGTAAGCGCGGACAATGCCGGCAGTAGAAATGCGCCAATAATGTAATCTTAAACCAAAAAATATGGCTTTGTGCAGACTCATATGAGAGCGTAATGAAAGTTTTGGAAAGAAACATCGCTGGCATCGTCCATTTTCAGTATTCTATCTGTAGTCGTGGTCACAACACATGGAAGTTTTTATTTTTTGCTGGCTGCGGTCATTTTCTTGACCACCTCTACACTTTCATTTTAAATATTGTTTTATGCTATTTAACGAAATATCGCTTTACGTAATTTGTCTTCGCAAGTTATCACAGAATTAAACGTTTTTATGCGGTGGACTGTCCATGTCCATTGGCGTTGGCAAGCGACACATTCACTGCCACAGACATATGGTCAGCACAAGCTAACAAAAAATTTCCCTTTTTTTACTGCATTTTTTCATGATACTCGCAGTCCTTCGGGTACCGCCCGCGGGAAAGTTCAGGCGTTAGCTCAAATCCAACACAAAATGTAGCTCTATAGTCTAGATGGCCGTACTCTATACTGTGGCAAGTTAGATACGACCACAGTGCGGAAAAATAGCAAAAGGCTGTTTAAACGCACTGTGCGGTAAAATAGCAAATGGCTATTTTGCCTACTGTGAGGAGGAGTGGCCTCCCCGTACGCCCGCACTGGTGCGGGTGCTAAGTTGTTTTGCTGTATTCTGATGTTGAATTTCTTCATCTACCAGATCTTCAATCTGGTATATTCTTCAGTTGCTAGCCATCGTCGTCTGAGTAACTTGCTGCTCTTTTGGCCCCGCAGCATTCTGCTGCGGGAGCTTCTGTAGTGACATATGAATGGGATAAAGTGTGCAGTTGATTGTCGGGTGTCTTGCGTTTCCGCATAACTCGTAGTATACAACACTGCTCACTCTACAGGATAGATTCCGTTTCTGTCTCTGTCCGTGGATTCTTCCTAGATCCACCATCATACTACCATACTGCGGCAAAATAGCTAAAGGCTATTTTAACGCAGTGTGCGGCAAAATAGCAAAAGGCTCTTTTGCCGCACTGGGAAGAAATGCGGCAAAATAGCCTTAGCCTAACATGCTGCTTGTACATCAGACCGTCCGTGCGCTCAAAAAAGCTCTGCCCATCATCCAGCACGGGCAGGCGTTCCACGAACAGACTGCTGTCCACAAAGATGCGCTCATCCGGCTTTTTATCATACAGACAAACAGCCAGGAACATGTCGCAGTGCGCCATGACGCTGGCAGGACGGAAGACCAGCGGTCCACCCGGGCTCTCCCGCAGTGCTACCTGCACGGTGGTGCCGACGTATGGCTTCAAATCGTAGTAGCGGGAGTGATGCGGCCAGACGCGATTGGAATGCGTCCATTCGGCCGCCACGGTGTGGCTATCGAAATCAACGAGTAAATCCGGACCGCGGACGCCCTGCACGTACCCGAGCCACCATTGGCCACCGTGGCGCTGCACCAGCACCGTGTTGCCGTAATTGGTTTCCCGAGCACCCGACCACATCTCGCGGTAGAAGCGGGGTGTTGCGCTCATGGTGCTGCAAAGACAACGGAGAGGGTTAACAGAAAGCGTACAGAAGCCGTGAGCAATCACGATAGCTATTGCCTGTTAGCTACAGAGTAACAGGTGAAAAGCCTCAGTATTATAACACTCATTCGAGGGCCATATAGCTGTGCTGCCTGTGCAACTTACAAAAATAGGAGAATGCAAGGGAAATGTAGTGATCTGGTACGGTGTGAGGATTTAACGATGGGACAAATGACAGCTTTCACAATTACGAACTCTTCTGCCTTCAAGAGAACCTGCTTTCAGACAAAAATTCACAGTCTGCGATCACGACCAGACGGTCCAGTACCCTTATTGTTAACAGACTGTGCAAGATAAGCAATATGACGGAGAGCGGCGGAACGAGGCATAACATTTGGGGTGGGCGTTCTAATAGACTGTATGCTGCAGCTCTTCTTTTTGGGTTTCAAGCTAATAGCTCGTTATGTCGCTGAAGAGCACTGACCCCGCCTCTGTCGGGCTCCGATTTGTTTCGAAACAGCCGAGCACAGGGAAGCGCGCTTTACTGCTCTGTTTGGTGTTTCCGCATTTACGGATTGTTTCCCTGTTCAACGCCTTGGTGAATAACCGTCTTGAACAGAGATTCACCGTGTGTGCTGTGTTTTTTACTTTTTATTGATAGTCCAGACCGCGTGAGAGTCTGTGTCCGTGGAGACGCGATGTGAAGAGGAAGAAGAACTGGTAGAAAGCACGTTTGAACGCGTTTTTGACGTATTTTGTTGGCTCTCGTTGCGAATTTTTGTAAAATTGGCCGTGTCCATTCATTTCGGCCACCATTCATTTCGGCTACCATTCATTTCGGCTATCATAGATCCGGTTACCGCGTTCGATTTTCTTAGGTTTTCTCAGGTTTTTTAGGTCATTCTTAGGTTGGCTGCCGAAATGAATGGTAGCCGAAATGAATGGTGGCCGATATGATAGGGTGCCAAATTGGCATTAGGCCATTAGTCTGGGTAGTTTTGCTGTCGCGCTCGTTGAGACTGGTACGGTACAGAGTAGGAGTGTTACGGTTCGCCGAAATATGTAAGAGTTGTTAATCGCATCTGTGTTGGTCACAGTGCAGTTGTGCACTGAAGGTTGAAGCTCTTGCTCGTAGCGCCGTGTCTTGATAAATATCATTGTGGTTTGGCAGACTGTGGCAACGACTTCTATCGTCAGCGATGTTTGCACGAACCAACCAAATCAACGTTGTGGGTGACGAGGACGTCTTGCTGTACGGGCGCGTGGTGGACGTGGCGGAGAATGGGCTGTACATCGATCTACTTTGTCCCCTTCTGCGCCGCGAACTCATCCCCTTCCACTGCGTCTTCCGATCTGAGCGCTGCCTGCCCGCGGAGTTCTATTGGGCTTGTAATCCTCCACAGGAGATGAGCCTCACGGTGGAAGTACTGCGCCGCGAATATCCCGGTGGCGCGTGGCGCTGGTGGCCCGCCGAGATGCTGAACCCGACTAGCGCGTCATTTCCTCGCGAAGACGCCACCCATAGCGTGGCCATCGTCCGCGGACGGGAAGACAGCGGCGCCACCTGGACGGAACTCTTCCCCTTGCACCGTCTCCGCTGGCCCGTGCCGAGCTCCTGGTGGGCGGGGCGCCGTGAAAAACAACCTGGAGAGCGGTGTGTGACGCTGCCGCAGGACATTGCTGCGGGACGTTTTTTCAAGCGCTGTCTGCCGTTGCCAGCCGACTGTGCGGTGGTGAAAGCAGCACAGCTGCGTGCTCTCATGAAGGAAATGGACTGGCAACGTGTTCGCTACGGCGAGGTGGTCTGGGTCGAAGTTGTGGAAGGACAGCTGAAGTACATCATGGAGCTGGACGGGGGCGATACATTGGAGCACTTCGCAGATACCGTACAGGTTCGTCAAGGTCGCATTCTACCCACTTTTCACAATTACAATTCAGCAAATAAAACCGAAACCATTTGGAAGTTTATTAATCGATTAAACTGAAACAAAATTACACAATAAGAATGAATAGTTCTGTATTCTGATTTAAATCCTGCGCCTATCAGTTGACCGCGATGCTCTATTGATGATTAGGTGATTCTTAAGCCATTCCACGACGCACTGATCCGACGCCTTCCCGGTATGTTTTGTGCGATGACGGCTGCGGTTGGTGAAGCCGGGGCGGATGAATGGCGGGCCGTGACGTCGAATGTGTGGCTGGAAGTGTTCGCCCATCTGGACACGACGACACAAACCAAGCTGCGCGTGGTGTGCTCGGCGTGGAACGCTCTGCTGGATGAGCCGATCTTGACGGCCAACATCGTCATCGACGCCAGCGCGGCCCGTTCCAGTGACAATCCGGAAACTTTCGGCTTCCATTACGGCCTGACGGCGCCCATCTGGAAGCGCATGAACCAGTCCACCAAACACCTGATAATCCATGACGGCGGGGAGCAATTTTGCATGCGGGATTTGTCAGCCGTGGCGGACGTGATGTGTTACGCCGCGCAGGCCAACCCCGACGTCCACCTGACGGCGCTGTTCATCGTTGGCGGCCGCAGCGTACTTCCCCAACTAGGCTCGGGTCTGTCGTGGTTCTGGAGGATGGCTCGCGGTAAGCAGTGTAAGTTGCATGCTGCGGACGATCCAAGGATGTACGATGCCGAATATCTCGCATTTCTCGCAATCACGTATTATCTGCCCCGCGATGCACTCCATCTGGTGAGGAGCACGCTGCCCCGACCGTACTGCCTCCGGTCCCAAACTGACCCGGACCTGCAGCGGGATGTCCGCCTGGCCCACTTGCGTCTGCCGATCAGCGAGGATTGGCCGTCCACGGTGTGGGAGGCGATTGAGGTGGCGCTGCCGGGGCTCGAGGATGGCGAGATGCAGGAACTGGCTGAGTGGCTCACTGTGGCTGAAATCTATCGCCGTGGAGGTTGACAAACAGGATCATCGTGAGATGGTCTGCAAAGTAAGAGCTAGTGTTAAAGAGCAGCCATTGAATATTCTTGAGTTTCGGCAGAATTAAATTCTTAGGGTAAAATAATGCAAATACAGAAAATAAAACTGAACAAATATAGCACATATGGTATAGAAAAAAAGCAGTGAATAGAGCACAGAAACTAAAAGAAGGAGAAATACATGTAAAATAAATCAAACAGGCCAGATGTAGAACTAAAATAAACAGAATAAAATTCAATAGATACGGAATTAAAATTATTCTATCTAAAAATAGGGTGAGATATAAAATCAAAACGAGACAAAATAAAACATATTACACGATACAAAGAATTGAAATTAAATGGAATAAAACATGGGTGTCCCGAGGATATAGAGTTACCACGATAAATGAGATAAAACATGATCAACTTCAGCTAGATGCAATGAAAATTATTCTTATGGCAGTAATTCAGTTGCAAACTCCATGTTAACGGTGCAACGTCACTTAATCTGCTTTCCGCCACTGTCAAATCCGCACCATGTGTTTTTACTAGGTATTGTGCGCGGTGCAGTCCGCCGATCCGCGGCCGGCATCGAATTACTGCGGAAAGCAGTGGTGCAAGGATGGACTGCAGGATCTCCGCCTGGAGAGAAGCTGTCCCGTATGGCGCTGCGCTTCTTGCTGATCCTGCCGTACTTCCTGCAGAATGGCCGCGACAAAGCGGTGGTGTCGGAGTCGGCTTAATCTGGGCGATTATCGACTACTCGGTATTTGTCGAAATAGTTTTTTTAAAATTTTCTTGCAACGGCGTGTGAGGAGGAGTGACCTCCCCTTTCACCCGCGCCCTAGCGGCTGTTAGTTTGTTTTTCCGTTCTGGGCCTTCTGGCTGGTGTTCTCCTTTAGCACATTCTCCGTCTGGCCAGTTTTTCTGTTGCTAAATTTCACCGTCTAAGCTGATGCTTTGATATTCTGCCTTGGTGGCCTTTGATGTGTTCTATCATCACTTCTATGTTAGAGGAACAGTATACTATACATAAACAAGTAGATTCTGTTGGCGTGTGGCTTCCGTTTCTACTCGCCTTGGGTGGGCTAGCCGCCGATCCCCTGTAAGAGGCGTATCGAAGTGCGGGTATGTAGCTGGCTCGTTGAAGTAAAGAATTGCTTGAAGAGCCTTTCGTATAGCGCTTATAAATAACAGTTCTGTTAGTACGTTAAAACTACAAGAGCTTGTACGTAAAAAGTTGTACGAAGAATGAAGTTACTACTGTACCAAAAGCGCTCCGTCTTAGCGCAACTTTCCGGCTAACCAATCAGGGTTGACCGCGATAATCTCTAGCCCATGTATCACCATTAATGTCAGAATATGTTTTAGCTTTCCGGAGAAATCTCTTAAAGAGCTGTCAAGAAAGGCTTTAGCAATGGTTACGGATTGTATCACTAGACACTAATCTTCATTCACGAGAATTGCGTACGATACTCGAAGAGATTTCTTATTCCATCACAAGGCGGAAGGGCGACTCGAAACTTTTGTGCCAAGGATGTGAAAACTGAGTATTGGTTGATATCAATTATCGAAGTTTCTTGAATACGAGGAGGGTTATAGTTGAGTCGGTAGCGCATAGTTGCAGCGAGTTAAACCGAACACCAGTTCCATAAGCTGTTGACGTAACAGTCAACCGTGGAAGGTTGCATTTCCAACAACTGAACTGCAGTCAGCCGGGGGGGGGGGTTGCACTGTTTGCTTACCAACCGCAGCTATTGGTTTGTGCAACCATCCGCGGTTGGCTGTTACGTCAACAACTTACCAAAATGGTGTTCAGTTTAACTCACAGCAGCTATGCGCTACCGACTCAACTATAATCCTCCTCGTACTGAACTTTTCCTGCGGATTACTGCATATGCCTATTACTTGCCATTAACCATAAGTGATTGTCTAACTCTCAGTCAGAGATACACCATTAGAATGCATCTGTACGAAAACGATAAACAACCGCTTTACACGTGGAACGCGGTGGATGTGGAGATCGGCGGTCTGCTGCAGCACGGCTACGTCGTCGGCCTGGAAGAGAAGTCAGAGAACGACCTCACTCCGCCACGTCTGATCGTGAATTTCGGATGCCCGGCACAGCAGGCGGTGATTGTGGAATACGGGAAGATCTGGGACTGCTCCACACATCGATCCATTCGAAGGCGCGCGGTAACCGATGTGGAGGGGCTGCTGCACGACGGCACGCACCGTGTCTGGAAATGGCATCCCGGGAAAACGACGGTCCCACGGTTCGATGAGGTGGATGGTGTAACATTGGTGGAGGTGACGATGGACGGACAGTGTCGCCGCGAACTTATTCCCTACCGACAGATCCGCGATCCGATCCAAAGGCAGCTCCTTCCAGACGACCATTTCGTCATGCAGACGTGCCGTGTGCCCAACGGATACTGGACATTGCAGTCGTCTGCATCTGCGTCGCTGCTGCGGGAAGTTGAGCGGAAATTCTATCTGCGATTTTTCAAGGTTCTCAGCCAGGAAATGCACTTTGTGCGACGGCGCCAGAATAGGACTTTGCGGCATATGTCGCTGGATGCAGATCTAGTGAGCCCTTGCTTTTTTGAAAGTATCCTAATTGCTTTTGATTAATGTGTCCATTATCTTACGACAGGCGAGTGTGCTCGAAAGAGAGACGAAGGCTGCTTTGCGCGTGTTGAACCGCAATCTACCCGAAGAAATCGACGAGCCGGAAAGTGAGCTCAAGCGGAAAAAGCCGTTGATTGTCGTTGAAGGGAAATTGCTGACGTTGCCGTTGGAAGTGCTGAAGGAGAGCTTCCACGCACTGGACACCGTCGATCGACAGCGTTGCCGCCGTACTTGTCAACTGTTCGACGCCCTTCTCACTTCGCTGGATTTGTGCAAAGATGTTCGTATAGCGCTGGGAAGACCTAGTCCGTCATCTGTGAAGTTGGATTGCAATTACCTCCCTTATGTCTGCATCTTCAAGCACGTTACACCCCCTACTTGCACAATCTGGATCAACAATACCGATACGGCTGACATTAACCGCCGCAATCGAGGTCCGGGTTACACCGACGATTCACCGTTACCGAAAGCGCTGGATCTTGTGAGGAAGGTTCTGCATGACGCCGGCAGCCGCGTCGGCCGTTTGATCGTGTCGGGGCGAGTAATAAGGGGCTCAGTGCAGCTCTCCTTCCAGTGGAAGCTAAGCGCTCTCTCCGCTGCATTATCCGCGCACATATCCAACCTGATGTCGTGCTGCGAGCGTTTAATTGTAAAGAACTATCTCCTCGTAGTGGAAAGTCCGCACGGCTCGCCCTTGATGGTCTTCTGCATTCCGACTGCCGTCTTCACTAGAGGAAATGCTGATGCGGCGCATATTCTGGATGTATTCGAGGAGCATTTGCGCTGCGACCAGCCGCCGTTGGACGTTCAGCGTATTGCCCAGTGCCTTGCCGAACGGACAAAGAGCGAAGTCAAGGCCAAGAATGTGATCAAGGTAATAAGTTGACACGCAGTCCCAGCGCTTACGACTGTTAATGTTAACTTCTTTCCAAAAAGCTTCAACTCCTGAATCAGGGCTTATTGACGTTAGAAATTCTCGTAATATCGAACTTGTGCAAAGTGCTCTGACAGTTTCACGCGGCACACGCCACGTCGAAGGTATGTGCCTGGTGTTTTATCCTGCTTCCCTGTGCATTATCGTTCGTAATTCTGCAGATTCTTCATGACTACCAATCCTGCGATCCGCGTCCATCGGCACATTACCGAAACCAAACGTGGACGACGGACAACGTGGCCGGCGTGGATGTGGTCAAGCTGAACCGATTCTCCCTGTTTGCCTTGTCGCGTTGCATGCGTGGGTTGAGTCTTGAGACCAGCATTCGCTTAGGAGGACAGCGGCCATTCCGATCAACCCAGCAGCGAATCCAGTAACTACAGCCCGGGAAGGAACAAGTGTAAAATTTGCAAGCATTACGGAGTTTAAATCCAGATTCACGACTTTTCGATCAGAAGCCTATTTAGCTTCATTAACGATTACGCATGCGTTCTCTTTTGCAGTTGGGGCACTTATTGGTCTACTGCTTCTTAACTTTTCCGTTAAACATTCTCTACTGTTTACTTTCTCCTTTTCATTTTGAAATTCCTAAACTTTGCACCTCAGAAATTCCGTCTCGAATCAACAATGCTAAAGCGAAGTAACTGCAGTTGTCGGGACTAGGGAGTGTAGTTGTCAAGGTGAAATCAAAGTTAATCTTTTTCCCTTACTAAACTAAACCTTCTGTTGGCGGACCTGGTGCTTAAGGGTTTGACCAAGGTGACAAGGCTAAGAGAGGAATATTCTCACGCCAAACGCGAAGTAAAACAGTCCGCTTTATTGATGTTATTATCAGCTATACCAAAATATAAAGGAACATTTCCTTTACGTACTAGTTAAAAGATAGTTTACCATTTCTGTTAATAGCTTTGTGCTTTCGGGAATGGGCAAAGGTAGCGAGGTGTTTTGTGACGTGCGAAAGCTACGATACGGTAGAGGCAATAACCCATTAATTTTTAATGTGGCACAACTTTATCGTCACTGTAGTGTCCAGAACAAGGTCTAATAAGCGAGAAGAAAATCGGAAGTTGTGCACGCTTGTAGCCGGCAGAAAGGTGGACGGGTGGATGGTGGATGTTCAATGAAATCGCATCCACCAATCTGCCGGCTACACACGCTGATGTGGACAAGAGAACTATTTAGGTCAGCATGATGCAGATGCCCCTCGAGCAGCGGCTACGTTGAAACTAAAGCAAAGCGTTAACTGACAGCCTGACATCTCGCACCGCCACTCAACATCTCATACCTGCTTTCTGTCTTCAGCTTTGAATGTAGATTTGCCTTTTCCACACTGTTCTACAGCGGTAAAAAATCTGTCCGTTCTCCCTCATTTTCTGCTTTTCACGGGAGACTATCCTACTGGAAAACATGCACCTGTACGAAAATGCTGAACGGTGGGTGTACGCGTGGAACGCCGTGGATGTGGACATTGACGGTCTCCTACAGCACGGCCATGTCGTTGGTCTGGAAGAGAAGTCAGAGGACGACGGCATTCCACCGCGCTTGATTGTGGATTTCGGATGCCCAACACAGCAGGCAGTGCTGGTGGAATACGGAAAGATCAGGGATAGCTCAGTCTCTCGATCTCGTATCTCGCGCCAAGGAGATAACGTTGATGTGCTGCTGCACGACGGACCTCACCGGCCCTGGAAATGGTATTCCGGAAAAATACTTTTTGGATGGTTGAGTAATTTGAATGATGTATCGCTGGTGGAGGTAATGATCGACGGGCAGCGGCATCGCGAACTGCTTCCCCATTGTCAGATTCGAAATGCAGCGAGTCCCGTCGTGGAACCAGAAGAGCCAGAACTTGTTGCCGCAGGCCATTTCGTCATGCATACCTTTGGGGTTCCTGACGTTTACTGGACCATGCAGCCCCCGGAGGCAAGGTTGCTGCTGAAAAAGGTTGAGCGAAAGTTCCAGCTGCGATTCGTCAAGATTCTTGGTGACAAGGTGTATTATCTGCGACGGAGCCAGGATTCGGCTCTGGGGTAAGAAGATATGGTGAGTCATGGTTGGTGTTTTAATACAGGCTATCGATTTTGTTTGCTTCCTCATGTGCTTGCCACAGGCGATGGCGTTTCAATTGGAAAGCCAGCATCCTGTTTTTCACGGTCAATTAGTCGAGAAAAGGGAGAGAGATATTGAGTTCGAACGGATACAGCTGGTTAACTACCCTGAAATCGGACTGGCGCTGCCAGTGGTGTTGTTGAAGGAAGTCTTCCAGTCACTGGATACAGTCGATCGTCAGCGCTGCCGCCGCACTTGTCCGCTGTGGGAAGCCCTTTTCACGTCGACTGAGCTGTGTCAAGAGGTGCGAGCTATGCAGCAACCGCCCCACTCTTCGTTTCCAGAACAGTGGAATTCTCGTTACGCCTTATACTGCTGCGTTTTCAAGCTCATCACGCCCGCCACCCGCATCATCTTCATTAATGTTGCCGAAACCAACTATACGAGTCACTGCAATCCCGATTTTGCCGAAGAACTGCTGGATGTTATTGCAGCTGTCTTGAACGGCGCCGGCATGCATATCGACCGTCTTATCATACACCAGCGATCGATTAGGCTGGAAACGGCCTACCGTGGTGGTCAGTTTAATTGGAGCGCGCAATCCGCTGAGATCGCAGCGGTCACGGCGAAGCTCCTGTCTTGCTGTGGTCGTGTGATCTGGAAGGACTATGTCTTCACGCTGGCAGACATGGGACGACTGCTCGTGATGACTTCCCGCATCCCCCTTGCGGTCTTCACCCGGGCTCCTCTGGATGGGGCGCACATTATGGATTTATGGGAGCAATATCTGGGCTGCGAGGGGCAGCCGTTGGATGTGCAGCACATCGCCCATTGCCTGGCCAATCGGGTCAACAATGAAGTAAAGGCCATGAAAGTGATGCAGGTATTGCAAAGTTGTGGACGCGCATCCTTTTTTTTAATATTTCCCTTTTTTGCTTTCTGTGATTTCCAGAAGGTACAAATCAACGGTTCTTATGTCTTATGCACTATCCCATCCGGAAATATAACCCATAAAGCTAACACTATCAACTAATACCTGGTAGCGCGTTCTGAGCGCTATGTTGGCAGTTTGAGCGCTGGCTCGTAAAAAAACGATTTTTACAATGACGAATTTGATATCTCCATTATATTATTTATCTTATTATAGTAAATTTTTTGCTTCATCGCTGATATTTCGTTTTTATCATCACCGAATAATCTGACCAGCCACGCCATATATGTGCTGTAACGCGTAAAAAGTGCAATTTGGGTGACCGGTGAAGCGCGTCGTAGTATTGAACAGTTATTCCAAACTTCGTGTTTTTCGCTGTATCAAGCTGAATTTCTACCCGTTTGCCCCGTAATAGTAATGTGTGGGTGGGCTGATGACTCAGCCCTTCTGACTCGCTATTCCCCGTTTCTGGGGTTACTGTCCCCGCATCTTCTTGCTGTTTTGACGGATATGCAGCATGGTTGCACTGGCTGCAGGATCCGGTTTTTCTAGTAGATTGTTTTTGGCGTGGCGGCCAGTTCGCCGATCATGGTTGTTCCGTCTAGGATACCTGCCATGGCGCCGACAAAACCACACGTTATAATAATCAGATTTCTTCGCTGAGTTGTGCGGATATTTTGTGCTACTTTTCTTTTTTGGGTACTCATACTGAATTATTCTGCAGATTCTCCAAGACTACCAATCCGGCGATCCGCGTCATCGGCGCACTATCGAAATCTTCAGTGGACGGTGTACAGCATGGCCGACGTGGACGTGGGCAAACTGAACCGCTTCTGCCTGTATGCGCTATCTCGCTGCATGCAGCACTGGGCTCCAGCATACGTTAACAAAGGCAACGCGCGATAAGTAACGTAACAAGTACTGCAAAGAGTCTACTCAATACACACCGGAAGAGCGCGCTGTATGAATCTTGAAGGCTCAAGAAAAGAAGCGTCAAAATGAAATAATAAATTTACAACCCTTGAGATAATGTTTTCTTTGCCCCAGAATGGGCTACATACGAGTGTAAGTTAATAATTAATGAAATACAATACATTGAATGAAATGGGAAAACAAGGGAATCATGAGGAGACAGTACTCACCGTCCACGTGAAAACGTATTACTTTAAGGAATTTAAAGTTCAGTTGCTTAGATAAGACTATGGGATCGGTTTTCCTTGGTAAATTTAATCCTTCAATAACACCACATTATGAATTGAACAGTATCGTACTTATAAGTGCGATGTCAGCATAGTCAATTAATCAAATGAAAAACTTGTCCGTTCGTGCGAATGAGGACAGATCCGCTTTTCCTATCCAAATTTCTAAACTTTAGCGCGGAGACAAAAATAAGTAGATCGGGGCTCGTCGGTGCAAGAAGACCAATTTACTCTTCAACCTAAGTTAAAAAAACAGCGACATCTTTACACGAAGCACACGACGAGCCAAAAAAATCGCGTGCAAAGAGAACAACATCACATCTGTCTAAAAGGGCGCGGTATCTCCTCTTCTTGCCCACGAAGGTCTGCTCGGGAGCGGCTGCCCCGCTTTAAGGCGCAGCTTGCATGTTTCCGTCATCGTATAGCTAACTGACTACAGCAGTCAGCTTGCGCTTTTTGGCAGCACTGGAATCCGGTATCTTCGGTCTGCTTATAGTCACAACAGAGAGGCTACATTGATCAACCAGCCTCAGCGGGCAAAAAAGGCTGTTCGCTGGCTTTTTAACATAGACCGTAGCGTCCTCATTTAGTCAGATTGTACGATATACTAGGCTCTTCTACGTCATCACGGCGTACCCTTACCGGACCGTTTGACGGTAGGATTGACGGTAGAAGGCTGAGATATCGTAATGCCTACCGTTGACGTCTGCGATATAGCAACCACTCTTAGTGGCAGTGGCATGAAGCACAACGTGTGCAGCTGCCAAATCATGCAACTTTAAAATTGTTCTGGCAGATTTTAATTGCTTTTCATTCATCAGAAAAGGATATTAGAAGAAAGATAAAATTCTAAAGAATTTTTTGATACCAAGCGAGTGCAGTTTATCTGAAAACGAACTATTCTGCAGCCATGTGAATTTAGCATGCAAAGCTTACGGAGCCGTTGGAGTACTCTGCGCGAGCTGTTACGTAAACTTCACAGGCGCTTGTGTTAAAATTTTAAATGCTCTTAGAAAGATTCATGGGCTATTAAATCTGGCCGTTTTGGTATCGAAAAATAGTTTAGCATTCTAGTTTTCATCGAGTTTTCAGCTGAACGATTGTTACCATCTGCCAAAGTCTTAAAACCGATTTGAACCGCAGCATGTTTCTCGTCAGAGGCAGGAATGGACCGTATCGTTTACCGTCTGCGCGTTGCGATCACTCCAACTTATCAACGGTACGGTCACGATACGGTGTCCCACCGTATCGTATACCGGACCGTATATCGCGACTGTGGGGCGATAATAATCTACTTTACTTTGATGACTCCAGCACAGAAAACATGTACTTCAATAAAAAGTGATGAAATCGAGTACAATGTAACTGAATTTAATTCTTCGTCACGCTCTGTTCCCACAAACTTAGTGGCAAGCGCCGGGCGCGTAATGTCTCTCATACCTCGAGGCGCCTGTTCCCGCTGGATCCGTTCCTATACTTCTGCTGTCATAATTTGTCATAAATGATCATATCCAAATTGCTGAGCCGTAAAATTGATCATCAATCTGTTGTACACATAACACTTTCACGATAATATTTAGGCACTTATAAGAACGTGATTTCTAGATGGTTCTTAGCAAAAAGTGACAAACTTTGAGTAAATTTGAATCGACTGCAGTTGTTGGACACGACGAATTTATGACGAATTTTATGGGCATAAATGTGCATATTGCAAATGCAAATGTATTGGAGATGCTAGCTGTAAAGGTGAAGTTGTCAGCTTCCCATGCTACGCCTTCGGTGGCTGTTCCGTGTCACAGTGAATTTGTGCACATAATTCCAAACGGCTAAACATCATCTTATGATTAGCCGGTTGTTACAATCCATACCTTATCCAGCTATAAGTTTAAGTTTAAGTTTAAGTTTAAGTTTAATGGTTTAACGTCCACACACAATCTGGGCTAAGGCCCAATCCGAGGCAGTAGACACGTCATAAAAAAACAACGAGAAACATTAAATGGTCATAATTAAACAAATTTTCACATTTTCAATAACAACACGTGCTCAGCGTGGTAAAACTTCTTCAAAGACACTACAGACTTCCAATCGACACAATTTAAAGCGGCACTAAATCTACCAAAACTTTGATACGATTCCGCAGGAATCCGCAAGTCATTCCAAATCCTCGCCATCCGATAAGCAAACGATCGGTCCGATGGTGGGAGTATGTGGCCGCCAAACGTTGATCCAGTAGGGGAAATCGGGCACGGATGTCCAGCCATCCTCTGCTGACGACGCGTAGCACCTGCAACACCAGAACGCACGGCAGTATCCTTACAAAATAACTTGTCGCCATAAGGGATTAGGTTGTATATAAACTTGTACGTAAGCTGAAGACTGCGCTTCAGATTGCGCCGTACGATCGGCTCCCACTGTAGCTCCTTTAACCTGGCAATATAGTCTTTCCGGTCACTTTTAAGATGAAGGGACTCGATAAATCTTTTTTGAACGTTTTCCACACTATCGATTAGCCCTTTTTGAGTAGAGAAGGTGACAGAAGCACAGTAATCAGAGATAGATAGAACAAGGCTCGTATACAGTGTACAACGTGCTGACAAATCTCGGGAACGAAATAACGTGTTAAGGTAACGCAAACGCTTTAACATTCGACACGACACATTTTCAGACTGCAGTTTCCATTTGCAACTGCGCTCTACGTAAATTCCCAAATACTTGGCGGAATCAACTATGGGGACACTTTCTCCGTTTACTTTATAGGGCTCAGATATTTTCTTTCTGAACGAGAACTGAACACATGCTGACTTTTTCGCATTGAAAATCAAGTTATGGTTGCGCGCCCATTTAGTGACGGCATCCAAATCTTTTTGAAAATCTAGCGCATCCACATCTGATTCGATTATCTTGTACATCATCACGTCATCAGCAAACAGCAACATTTCACTGCCATGGACACAAACAGCAGGAAAATCACTAAGGAGACAGTTAAATAACTTGGGACCGACAAGCGACCCTTGAGGGACTCCGCTTGTAGCCGGTAAAAACACAGATTTCTTGCCATTTACAACAACCGACTGCACTCGGTTTGATAAGTAACTACTGATAAGGTTTACAACGGTACACGAAACAATCATGTTCGACAATTTTTCAAGTAGAATAGAGTGATCAACTTTATCAAAAGCTTTGCTGCAGTCCAACAGAATAATGTCGACACGTTTACCACGACCTTTAGCATCTGTTAATTTCTGCCAGAACAAATTCAACAAAAGTTCAGTAGAATGTTTTTCGCGGTAGGCAAATTGTTTATCTGTAAAATTACTAATCTGCATTGTCAAAATTTTACAAACAAATTTTTCAAACAATTTCGACAAAGGATGTAACATTGCCACTGGGCGCCAGTTTGCAGGGTTGGTCTGATCAGCAGCTTGCTTGACGACAGGAGTTACGAAAAAGGTTTTCCATAACTTGGGAAACATGCATTTTTTCAAACAATTATTGAACAAAATTTTCAGGGGATGGATCAGTGATGCGCCACAAGCTTTAAGAAGGTTCGAAGAGAGATCATACGGTCCGCTAGATTTATTGCAGTTAATTGCTCGCAGGACGTCCCAAATGTCGCTATCACTAGCAAATAAGCTTGCTTCTGTTACGTTTTCAGTGACACAGGCAGCAGACATACAATGCACTGGACATTGGCCAAACACACTGGCGTATTGTTCGTTTAAACATTCAGCCTTTTCTAAATCGTCCGCAGCATAAACACCGTTCGGTCGTTTCAGTAAAGGCATATTTGGGCGATCTACAGCAGATTTCACGAAGCGCCAGAATTTTTTGCTGTCGTGCCGAGATACAGCCGCGACCTTTATTGTTTGCATACGGTAATAAGCATTAACCTGCCTCTCTGCTACCCGAGACTTTTTCAACCATTCCTGTCTCAATCTTTCCTTTCGCAAAATGTTCATTTCACGCTTAAAACGGTCAAATGCAGCGTTCCGGCTTCGTATCACATTACGCAAGTTTTCAGGATACTCGAATTCAGCCATCCTGCACCTGACCTCTTTTAGCTGAAAGAATAGCTTAGCTGCTTCAAGAACTTCAAGCTATGCAGGTGACGTCGCTCGTCTTCTAAAGCACTAGAAAGCCTGATCAGTTTAGGACTCTTGTCGAACCCAATTTAACGCAACAGTGCGAGTCCTATCTGTCTCACGTTCGATTCCCATAAACCAAAAACCATGAATGCAACGGTACGTTATTTTCGGGAGGTAGGGGCCCGCGAGGCCAACTATGGAAACACGGTGCTGGTGCAGCGCGACAACGGCCAATGGTGGCTGGGATACGTGCAGGATATTGACGGCGATCAGTTCTTCGTTGACTTTGACGCCAGCGCCGTCAACGCCCAATGGATCCATTCTCGCTATCTCTGGCCACACCGCTTCGTGAGTCGCCAACATCTGCAGTCGGCTTCTTCGTATCCGGTGGCCTGCGAGCCGCCAACGACGAACCGATGGTTTTTCAAACGGGGACCATCCTTGGTTATTTGAGCGACCGATTTGCCGTGGTTCGCATGGACGATCCGCATCCGAGCACTGCAGCCGGCTCCTGCATCGTGCATCAGACACAGTTCGTGAGAAATCTGCCGGTGCTCGACAGGCACGATCCGAATCTACCAAGGTTCTTCGGGAAGAGTGAAGGATTCCTGTACCGTAAACACGTCGTAGCTTTCGCCCAGGCCCACCAGCTGCGTGACGTCCATCCCCTGCCCAAGTTTGCAGCGCGCCTGTGTCGCGTAATGCCGGCGATGCGTGAAAGTGGCTGTGATGGCAGGTGTTCATTCCAACCGATGCGACCGCTTCATGTTGATTCGATGGATATCCAAATCTTTCAGTGTGCCGGGATCCACAGAACCACTAGAATGTTCAGTTTCCCCTTCGGATGTCGCATGTTCGTGCGGGCGGGAAGTGACACGGTTACGTTTATTTGCGCCGAATGGCACGGTTCTGCCACCGGAGGCAGTCTCTTGTGGACGGAAAAATCCCTGGAGGCGGCATGCCGCAGCTGCCTCACCGAGCAACAGTCGGACCCAGCTGAAATGGCTAAGGTTTCGACGATGGGGATGCTCCAGCATGGTACGTTTGACAATGTATAAACAGCGACGTTTAACAATGTATAATCGGTTAAAAGCCCTTATTATATTATCGAATTATAATCCCAGATCAAAAATACTTGGAGCGCATCGTGAAGGTGCTTTAATTACAAGAATGGGCTTGCGTGTATTACGGGGAACGTCTGTTTTTTATGTAACTTTCTTGGCTTAAGATAACACAATTAATTTGAAACAGGTAAACATCACAGCTGAACACTTCACTTGCGAAATTGCTTGAAAATACAACAGAAGAAACAGTATACTGTATAAACATAAGATGGCGTCGGTTACGTCATAAACTGGAGTTGGGAGCTGGACTTTCTAGTTACAGTTCCCGGTTGTACTTTGTACTTGCAGCTCCCAACTGCAGCATATGATTCAGCACAACTGCAGCATATGATTACTGCATATGTACACTGTATAGAAGTACACTAACTAATTTACTCACTTACTGATAATCACACACACACACGCTGGTGCATCTGCTGTGCATACCTCAAGGATGCTCGCAGCCCAGATGCAGCTACCTGTGCAGCCGTGTTGCACGCGTGCAAGTGGTTGTTTACATTCTTTTACCGCATGGAGCGGCATTGGCACATTAGCGCAACTGGCTCGTCAGCGATGGTGCTGCATACCATGCGCGTCTCTTATTGATTGAAAACACTTATAGTAATGCTGCGCACTTATAATATACAAATTATTTGTCAACTTATCGAGTAGTTTAATTGCTTAACTGGATTGTGCACGGCTTATATATAATTGTGAAACTTGACATGCGCCCAATGGTTGGAGTACTGTACGGATGGATGGATGGTACTGTACTATATGGATACTACTGTACACTGTACAGTTATATTGGTTTACTTTCATTGCTTGATTCAACAAGTTGTTTACATTCTTTTACACTATGGAGGAGCACTTTAACGCATCTGGCTCGTCAAAGCCTTTCAACGCATAGTAAGTGAAATATAATTACTTTTCAGTGGATATTACTAGCTGCTCTATTCTCAATTTATTTATACATATATAATCATGGAAACTAACAGGTACGATGGAATATTATCTTCTTTATTACTGTACATTATGCCTGTAGTGTGTAATCAATTTTGACAATTATTTGCAGTCTACTGCGTGCATGCTTATGCGTGCGTGCAGATCAACTGGAAAAAAGTCCGCCAGGGTCGCTGCAAAATTTTTCCACTGGAGCCAAAGCCACATTTCTGTTAACGATTACTCCGCTAATTGCAGAATTTATGAATTTCTTGTACACGAAGTAAGTGAAGCAAGTGTTTTTAGTTTATATTACGTTGTAACCCATGCTGTATTTGTCATGTTTACATAGTTTCGGGGCTGCTATAAACAACGAGGGTTTGAGTGGAAAAAGTTGGCCTGAACTTCTCAAAGAATTTTTCCACCTTGTCAACGGTATGGCGTAATTTGCTGATTCCGCAGTTTCCTGATTACAAAAATTATTATTATATGCTTGTATGTTTGCTCAATGCTTTTATAACAAAAAAATACATTTCGTAATAAAATCTAATTATCATTATTAATGAGTAATGTATTGTACAGTATTGCACTGTATATGTAGTATGTACCAGATACTTTTAAGGGTAAACGTTCTTTACATTTCTTAATAAATTTAGCACTAATGCTTTGTAATGCCAGGTAACAGAAATATGCAACGATAGCTTTTTTTGTAATTTTATTTACTGCTGCATTTAGGTTCCTAATAACAGGCGCAATTCGTTTTCAGCAGTATGAAGAGTATCAGCATCTTTTGCACCTAATAAATTAATTTTTCCAGAATGGAAAATCATCGCCGTACAACCTTGAAGCCGGACTCGCATGGCCGGAAATATTTCAGGTTCAAACATGGCATCAGCTTTTGCTCTTATTGAGTTGTATAATTTCTCTAAACTAAGAAATTTCCCAAAATTGAAAGTGGCGACAATGTTAACAATTCTTGGATTCTTTAACGATGCTTTTTGATAGCCGTATTTTTGCAGTTTCCGGTAATAGTGATCCAATAACGCGAGAGCATCACTGATGGACTTTGCACCATTAACTGTGATCTTGCCGTTGCGGTACACTTGGCAGTGCGATTTGTAAGGACGAATGGAACGGAGAAGAAGCCCGGAAAATTTATGTGGTGCATAATGAGAAAGCGGAGCGCGTTCGGATAAGCTGGGTAAGTCAATTGCGCAGCCAAGGTCAGCAGTTGCAACAACGTTAGTTATTTTCGCCATTCAGCCAATTTGCAAATGTCTCCGCTTTTGAAAGCGTTGTTTGTGGTAATGAAGTAAGCTCCTTAAACTTCGGGCACCCAATGTCTTCAAGATTAAACACTTCAGGCAAATAATTTTCCAAAATCTTTTGCTTTTCCAATCCTTTGGCAAAAAACGTCAAACGCGCAGGTCGTTCACCAATAAGCTCCAGCATATCCTGAATCGCCCTGGCGATGTCCAAGTATAAATAATCTCCACGATTATGCCAGACAAGTCCGTGTGAGTGACGCGATTGGCTCCTAAATTCAACGCGGTAATGATTAAAGTCGGATGGAATGGTGAATGTGTAGCACCTGCTAACACCAGTTGGGCAATCACAAAATGCCAGCTGTTTTATAAGCCGTTGGGAGCCAGCGATAAACCGATCAATATCCAAGACAACCCTCCGCTTTGAAATCTCCATTCTGTTATCGGTACGCTAGCAATAGCTCCGCCCTTTGGAAATGGATTCCTTAAATAGGTATCCGCGCACGACAGCTGATTTGAGATTCCGACTACCCGCTTCAGTCCTTGTTGTGGGGCCAACGACTTCGGGGAAAACGCCGTATGTGTCAAAATTAATTATGGAGCGCGATAAATTATTTGACCAACCATTTGGAAGAATTATTTTGGTGTACGGAGAAATGCAGCCAGCCTACGAAATGCTTCAGCGCAAAGTCCCTGGGATTGAACTGACAAAAAATATTCAACAAATTGTGGAGGATGAAAATTATTTTGATGGTAAACAAAATATTTTGTTGATACTGGATGACGTGGCAAGTGGTTTGGTGAAAAATGAGCATTTGGCTAAACTCTTCACTCAAAAAGTACACCATAAACGGCTTTGTGTATTTCTATTATTCAATAACCTATATAAACAAGGGTCTGCTATGCGAGACGTGCATCTTAATGCACAATATCTTATACTGTTCAAAAATAATCGTGATGTGAACCAAATCAAGATTCTAGAAAGGCAGACTGGTTTAAAACATCTCAGCGGAGCTTACGAGGAAGTCGGCCAGGAACCATTTCAACCTCTCATTTTGGATATGAAACCGGACACACCTGCCTATTTAAGGATTCGTTCAGCAATATTACCGGGAGAGTTGACTAAAATTTACATTAATCCACATACGACAAACTTGCCCAAGAATGTGTGATCAGATTTTAAAAGACTTTGCACCGTTTCTCCTTACCCTGCGATCGCTGAAACCCAAGCAGCGTCGTTTTCTTTTGGAAAATATTTCGAAACGACAACTTCGCTGTTTTGAAGAAATTTGTTTGAATTTGGTAAAGAATTCAGTGCCTCTTACCACCGATCAGCTAAAGGTGTGTCAGCGTTGGCGTCGACCATTAAAGCTGATTGCCCTCAAAAAATATCCTTTACGAAGCAAGAGGAAATTTTATTACAGCGCGGAGGATTCTTACCTGCGGTTCTACCTGTATTGGCAGCTGTTTTGGGAACTGCCTTACTGAAATGAAACCGGAAGTGCATTATATTGTTCCCGCGAGCGAAATGAAAAGACTTGCAAGTGACACGGTTGGTCGTATTGTAACGGATGTCCAATTACAACAGCAGCCTACTGAAGTTGTGGATATTGTAAAACTGGACGATTTGATGAGAGATATAATTTCACGGAATACGCTAAGCGAATGGGAGAAAGCGGAACTGTTATCAAGAAACTTGGCTCGCTTTTGGCGCTGAAAGAGTCGGCGTTCGGCCCTGACCAAATGGTTATTCCGCCTCCAGCATCTGTGCCCCCCATTCCAGTACAACTATTAAAGAAGCCGTGGGTACCCCCTAATATGCCTGATCGTATGTTAGATGCTTTCCCTCCTATTCCACCTGCACCCCCGGCAAAACGCAAGCGTGCAAAGCGAGAAGTATTTGATGAAAACACTTTACAAATCGAAGGTCCCATCGGTTCAAGAACCAAATCCCAGTTCAACTGGATGACTATTAATAACAAATGAGTGGTGGTGGATGCGTTCCCTTTTCTTTGTCTTTGGGTGAAGGTATGACATGGAACTGCACATCTAGCTGTTGCGATGGATCAAGCAGTAGCGACGACGAATACGATGGCCAATCTACTGCTACGACAAGCGTATCTGAACCCTCAGCACCCGGGCAGCTTAACAGGGATTCAAAAGTTTCGCAGCCACTTTCCACAAGCACCAAACTATCAACAAACGCGGGAACAGCTGGAGCATCTGGATCCATATACAGTCCACAAATCTCGACGCAAAAGGTTCAAAAGAAACCCCGTAGTTGTCTCAAACCTAGCGGAGCAATATCAAGCCGATCTGGCAGACATGTCAAAATATGCGAAGCAGAACAAAGGATACCGTTGGATATTGTTTGTGATCGACGTCTTCAGCAAGAAAGTGAGCTGTCAACTACTAAAGAATAAAAGCGGTCTAGAAGTAAAACTTGGGTTGGAAAAGGTGTTTGCAGAACTCGGAGCTCCCATTAAATTGCAAACGGACAAAGGTCTTGAATTTTACAATAAGGATGTTAAGAGTTTTTGACAGCCCAAAAGGTTTTTTTGTTCTCTTCTGAAAATAAAGCAATCAAAGCATCCTTAGCTGAAAATGGCATACGCAATCTCAAGAAACGAATATGGAAATTATTTCGACACCGACAGTCTAAAGTGTACTGGGACGTTCTGGGAGATTTGGTAAACAGTTACAACAACGCAATTCATTCTTCGCATAAAGTCACGCCTAATGAGGTTAGCCAGTCCAATTCTCTGCAAATATTCAATCGACTATATGCAGAATTATTATTGGGAAAGCAGAAAAAGCCAAAGTACAGCGTAGGTGACACAGTACGAGTAGCCATCGACAAAACACTTTTTGAAAAAGGATATGAGTCAACATTTAAGGAGGAAATTTACAAGATACACCAAGTATTACCACAACAGCCCGAGCCCCTCTACGTATTACTGGATGAAGACGGGGACTTAATTCGCGGGAAATATTACGAAGCCGAACTCAGTCGTGTCAGAAATGGCTCATAATAGCTTTTATGTCACGCTTCCATCTGATGCCTGTATGCAACGGTTCCCAAAGAATAATGCAGCTGAATGGACCACAAAGTTAAAGAGCGTGATATCGCTACCGGGACAATGGGAAATGGCATTGGTGGAAATACAGTATCCTAATTCAATGTACAATTTACCCAGTCCCCAAACGTTGCACGTTGACCAAATTACTTTTATGGATAGCAACGGTGTTTTCGCTATGGAGAGGGACACAATTACGGTACCTGCAGGGATCTATGAGAAAAGTGACATCATTAATTTTATCAACAGTAAAGTACCACGGTTAAAGCCATTTCGCGATTCTACAGCGAAAGAACAGGCGGCTTTCCAACTAGAATTATTTGCAACCGAGCCCAAGCTCAAAGTGAAATTTCCCAGCGTACGTGTTTTTCTGGATTTTCCTCCCTCATCTTTGCATCTATCCCGTATGCTTGGATTTAAAGAACGACGATTTTCTGCTGCACAGTCTGAACAATATGAAAATTTTTTAATGGAAAAAACGAATTTTGCTTCCGCAGCTACAACACTGTCCGACCAGCTGAAAGCCCTGGCAGAGTTGCAACTGTTGGAGACGTCTATAACAATGACAGCAGATAAGCCCGTAAATATGCACATTGGGAACCAGTCAATTTTGTCTACTGCAACAAGTGCGACTACAATATTGTGGGCGATGAAACTATGCAGCTTTTGCGCGCTTTCCCCATTAAAGCAAGTGTTCCTCGCTTCGAAATTGTTTCCGAAAGGTTTGAGGATCCACATTATTTACCTGTTTTATACGATCGACTGGACACTATTGATATCAACATTGCAACTGATCTCGGAGAAGCGGCAATTTTTCAGACTGGAAAGTCAATGGTAAAGCTGCATTTCCGCCCCATTCAGTATTACTATCGCTAAAAAATGCCCGTAATCCTCTTTGAGCCGTCACCATCGTTCTATCTGGATTTATTTGCGGGGGCCGCCACGGGCGCTAGTAGCCAGCACGGCTATGGAGCCGTCATGACAAGCTATCGCGGGAGTTTAATGCAAAATGGCAGCGGATTTATACTACCTAATTTCCTGCGCGCAATGTTTAGTAAATTAGCGCATTTTGCTGCCCCGGTTATTAAAGCAGCGGCACCACATGCCAGAGCAGCAATGGAAGCAGCAAAGCCCCACTTACGCGACGCAGCGACAACAGTTTTAAGTGAAACATCCAAGAAGGTAGGAGAGAAAATTTCGGAAGCGTTAACTGCGCAACCTCAACAGCAAGGAGGCATCAAACGGCTCAAGCAGCAGCACAAGAGGACAAAAAAGATAAAGAAACCTTCCTTCCGACTTAAACGGCTTAAACGGATTCCCCCAAGAGAATTTGAGGACGCATTTTAAAATGGCTTTTTATTTTGGAAGGAAGCGTGCCAGCTATGCAGGTCGAGTCGGATTTATTCTCCGTTCCGGCCACTCTAGCGGATTTTGTGCGGACAGAAGAAGAACGCATTCTACCAACATCAGGGCAAACAGAAGAAATTAGTTCTGGAGAAATTTCCTTTTACATTCCCCCTTCAACGTCGGCGCTGCTAGTGCTACCGGAAATTACGCTAGAAATGGATATTGCAATCAAAAAGCAAATTGCAGGACTTGGTGCGGCTACGCATATTGAAAACACGGATCTAGTAGCACCAGTGAACTTGATTGCGCATTCTATATTCAGCTCGGTAGAGGTAACAATGGCCAACCGCCTGATAACTTATTCCACCCCATTATATGCCTACCGAGCGTACTTGGAAAATTTGTTGGGGTACACACCGGCTGCCCTAAAAAGCCAGGCAACAAGTGCTGGATTTTATATAGACACTCCCGGGTACCTAGAAGATCATGCCAATAACGCTGGAGAAGTAACGCGAAAAGCTATGTTTGTGACCAACGAGTACGTCCCGTTCAGCGCCAAATTATGTACGGACATTTTTCAGCAGGGAAAAAATTTGATCACCGGTGTACCGCTACATGTGCGCCTCATTTTGAATAAGCCGGAATTCTACCTGCGTTCATATGCCAATCTTCCAGTGGATACCTTTAAAGCATACATTCGCAATCCGCGGTTGTACGTCAAACGCTTTGTGCCTAATCCGGCATATTTGTCTGCGCTTACTGCCCAATTATCGACAAAGACTGTGAAATACCCTATTGAGCGAGTTTGTATGCGTGTTAATGATATTGGTATGATTCAGAGCACAGTGCTGGCTAATTTACATATTGGAGCAGTACCCAAATGTGTTTTTGTGGGATTTGTAAAAAGCTCGAGTTTTCACGGGCTGCGCCGAGGTAATCCGTTTAACTTTGAACATTTCAATCTCAACTATATAAGTGTCGAAGTCGACGGACAGTAATATCCCGCACAGCCTACCGACCAAATTTCGCCACGGGTGATTATTTGCAATCATATGACGGTCTGTTGGAGACGCTCGGCCGCTTGCACGCACCGGACGGGGCGCTGCCTTTCGACCGTAAAGCATTTGCGGAAGGATTTGCTATTTGGGGATTCGATCTGACACCTTCACGGACAGGCCGGGGACCGATAAGCACCGTGCGCCAAGGAAATCTATCAATCCGCCTGCAGTTCGCCGCCCAATTAACTGAACCAATTATGGCCATTACGATGATGGTGTGGGATAATATTATTGAAGTCAATTCACATCGCCAGCTAATTGCGGATTTTACAGCGTAAAAACCTAACGTAAGTGTTGTAAGACTTAAAAATGCCGTGTTGTTGCCTGCGCGGTAAGCTTCAGGGTCGCCAGCGGGGGTGGGCGCGCCGTCGGCCCCTTTTGACGCTGAAGAGAATCGTGACGGATGTGGTAAACAATGGGCGACCGGAGCGCTTCGCGCTCTCGGTCGCCCGTTGTTTACAGGACAAAGGGGAAAAAAAGAAAAAAAAAATTCAGATTTTATTTTGAATGCAGATCGGCACTAAAATGGACACTGCTGAAATCGACCACGTGCTACGTTCAAGTACCGTGACGAAAGACGCTTTTATTGGTTTATTTGCTGCGGACATGTTACCACCGTCCCTGCCAATGAAGCTGCCATGGGCATGCGTTGTCAATACTGACGAAGCTGCAAAGCCAGGCTCGCATTGGTTGGCGTTCTACCAGGACGTCCCGGGAAAATTGGAATATTTTGACTCTTATGTTCACGAACCGAGATTTTACGGCATCCATATTGAAAGTTTTTGCAAGAACGCCGAGTTAGTTATTTCGCAAGCGCATCGTTTACAAATGGAATGGAGTACCGTGTGCGGACAGTACTGCTGCTTTTTTATTCTAAAACGATGCTCCGGCGAGTCATTTACCTCTCTTATTCATTTGTTCACCAATAGCAAATCGTCGAATGATCGAATGGTTTGTGCTTATATTAATCATTATTTTGATTTGAACACTGTAATTCGTGATCGCTCTATGATAATTCAGTCTGTTTTCCGTCAAATAATGCAATAAAATCTGGCCATCCAAACCCTTACGTATGAGTGTAGGTGTAGTTACTTTGTACCGCAACAAATTGCAGTGCAACAAAATATTACACTACAGCAACATTGCGCTGCCATGTGGATGTTTTGTTTCGAAATATAACAGGACATCGCATTTTGTACTCGTGGTCTTGCCAAAAACATGTGCTTCATAGCAGTTTTTCCTTACTGCATCTATTTCTATTTGGCGAAGCAGAATGGTTTTTCGAATTGTTGTGGACATCAAATGGTATAATCGTAATGAGAAGTCAATTATAACGGAACTGGCAATTAGTTCTGTTGATTTCCATTGTCTATATTACACCCGATTTTTGCTTCCTCCGGATAATTACATTGTTAGCAAGTACGGCATCAGTTCCACGAATGTCGATGAAATATTTGTTAAAGCTTTCTCGGACCTGGAGATTCAGATAAATCGAGCGTTCAGAAACTATCTGCAAAACGTTAAAGACCCCCTAAGCGTTGTTTTCTATGCGAAAGGTTCAGAAAAGTGCGGTATTATCCAGGATTTATTAAAATCTGATTGCATCAACTTGGACTCGTTAGGCTGCCCGCGCTTTTCCGATTTATGCAATGACAGATGCTACAGTCCCAACAAAGCACAGGCTTACTCAAACTGGATGCTGACTCAGTATCTAAAAAGTTCCAAAAAATGCTTGCTTTGCCGCATGCCGATCCCCGACACTGGCGTTCGTCATCATCGACGATGGCGCAGTCGAATTTCAAGACCAGATCTAAATTACTATTCGGGTACGTGCTCAAATTTTGATGTTCTTTTTTAAAACATTTCTGACAAGGTTTACGAAATTGCAGATGAACAGGGTAACAGGTGCTGCATCCGTTGTGGAGCTGTATTCATTTCCGGTGAGGACCGCACTGAACAAAAAAGGATCGCGGATATTAACATGCCTGACATTTTTAGCGCATGAATCATTGAGCGATCTGTTTGGAAATTCAGATGATAACAAAAATGCTGTAGCGGAATTTATTCATATATAATCTGAGTATCTTGGGTGCATCTTTGAGACTAGTAAAATCACGTTGCCAGAGCTCGTCTTTACGATGACGCAAGTACCTGATCGTGTACGGGGCAACTCTAACGCCTGTACTAGTAACCCACAGTTTGCTGATACCGCACTTTTCAATCATGATTATGCTCTTCTTGATCATAATTATACTGTACCACGAGCTGATCTGCCAGCTTTGAATATAGCTGACGAAGTCGATCCAGACTTGAATGACATTAAAGATTATTATGTGCTCGAAAATATCGGAGCAAAATATTCCCAGAAATTTTCAGTTTCGTTCGAAACTTACAAATGTACAGTGACGGGGCTGGATAATCTATCGTTCAAGTATGCTGTTAAAACGATAACACTCGTTTTGAAAGATATTCTGGAGAGTGTGATTGCTGCGATTCCAGCGCATAACCTGGTGCGAATCCGCATGTATCAAAATGCTCTGCAGTATCCAATTTGGATGCCACCTATTCGGCGGGACCAAATAACAATTGAACGGTGGATGACGACAATAAGGCGGATTCTAAACTCTAATCAGGCTTTTCTGCTAGACGAATCATTTGAACTGTCAGTCCAGCACACTGATTTGCCATCCGGATCATGCAGAAAAAATGTATCAAAATTGTTGCAGCGGATTTTAGGCAACAAAAGATGTATTACCCAGATTCGAAATACGGACTGTTTGTGTATGGCCAGGGCTATAGTTGTGGCACAAGCGCATGCAGATGGCGACAAAGAACTGTACACAAAGCTTTACCGAACCAAAAAGTTGCAAGACCAGAAGACAAAAGAATTATTGTTGACTGCCAACCTGCCAAACAGAGAATTCAACGTGCAAGATATTCCCCGCTTTGAAGAAGTTTTACCGAATTATCAGTTTATTGTGGTATCTGTGGATCATGGAAATTCTATCGTCTACTGCGGCGCCTACTGCGAAAAGCGAATTATGCTGCTGCATCACGATCAACATTTTGATGTTTTAACATCTTTACCGGTCTATTTTGAGCACCACTATTACTGTTACCGTTGCATGAAAGGCTACGATCAAAGACAGTATCACCGCTGCGAGTTCAAGTGCCACCAGTGTTTGTCTGCAACTTGCAAAATGAATAAGCAAGAAACCATACACTGTCTGGACTGTAACCGCGATTTCTATGGGCAAGATTGTTTTGACAGACACCAAGCTGGGAGCAGCACCATCTGCGCAAATTTTTTCATTTGCCGTGAGTGTAAAACCTTTGTCTCTATGGTAAATCGCCGTATGAAGACCAATTACGATACAATTCATGGCGAGGACAATGACCAGGACCACGATATTGCTGAGGAAATCGAACTAGATGTTGACGATCAGCAACATCGATGTGGTGAGGTTTTTTGTGCGACTTGCTCGTTATTCTATATTCCGGAGGAAAACCATGTGTGTTATATGAAACCCGTGGAATTTACGGATAAAGAAAAGGCCAAGCACCATAACGACAAGCTGGCATACTTTGACCTGGAAACATATCAAGACGAGAGTGGAGAATTTAAAGTCAACCTAGCGGTGATCGCGACAAAAAATGAAAAATTTATTCTTCCAGAAAACGGTAATATTAACGGCGACATTTCACAAGAACTTGGCGATTTCATTTTCAGTGAGCGTTTCCGTGGCAACACATTTATGGCGCACAATTTGAAGGCTGCGAAAGTCAACACGTTAAGTAACTTCTTTATTAAATAAATTGATAATTTATTTTTCAGGGATTTGATGGATACTTCATTTTGAATTATCTCGTGAAAAACGGCGTTATTCCACGTCCGCTTATTTTCAACGGGAGCAAGGTTATGCAGATGGACGTGCCCAAACTCAAAATAAAATTTCGTGACTCTATGAACTATGTACCATCATCGTTAAAAAATTTTGCGAAAGCATTTGGTTTGCAAGAAACCAAAGGAGATTTCCCACACAAACTTAATAAGCCTGAAAACTGGAATAAAATAATTGCTTGGCCCGATCGTCATGACTATGGCTATCAGTCTATGAAAAGAAAGAACGAAAGCGCTTCATGAAATGGTACCGCAAAGAGCGACGCCGTCACAGGAACAAATTCGACTTTAATGCACACTTTATCAAGTAAGCTAAACCCTTATGCTATTTACAGAATCGAACTTATCCGATTCGTTTTAGGTATTGCTCACAAGATGTCCTCATTTTGCAACAAGCGTGCGAAAAATTTCGAGCGCTTTTCCAACAGGTAACCGATGGATTATGCCCATTTGCGTCTGGACTAACCACACCCGGCATGTGCAATTACTTTTGGAGAGCGCGAATGCTGAAGGAAAACCAAATTGCGTTGATCGGCCCTCCTGGTCAGGGCAAAAAGTCATCTGTCAAAGGAGAGCGTTGGCTACGCTGGATTGAAATGGAAAATGATGTAAAATTGCAAAAAGAGCATCGAATCGGTCACTGGACTGTGGATGGTTTTGATCGGGATACAAAAACCGCTTACGAGTTTTTAGGTTAGTCAGCTCGATATAAATGTTATCGATCACATTCAAAACGCAATTCACCTTCAATGTTTTTGTGCAGGATGTATGTGGCACGGCTGCAGCGAATGCACAACAAAAAGCACGCTGCATCCCTTTCTGAAACGGCCAATGGAGGAAGTCAACAAAGCAACTGCCTTACGCCTTGAAGCTATCAAAACTATGGGCTATTCCGTAGTTTCGATCTGGGAACACGACTATGATAGCCGGCTCACTACTGACCTGGAATTTCAGAAAATAATTCAGTTGACCGGTATTGAAGAACCTATGCACCCCGAGACGCATTTACTGGTGGCAGGACAAACGCTATCAAGTTGTACCACAAGTGCGATCCTGGAGAAAAAATCTATTCGCTCGACGTTATCAGCGAATACCCTTATATTAACAAAAATCTACCTTATCCGGTGGGACCGCCTGTTATCATTACTAAAGATTTTCCGCCTGTGGAGAGTATTTTTGGAATAATTAAATGTCGCGTCATTCCTCCACCGTCGTTGTTTTTACCGGTGCTACCTTACAAAACTGATAAACTGACTTTTCCTTTATGCGCTAAATGCGTGACGGAACGCGTAAACGAACCATGTTCTCACGATGATGAGGACAGGGCTCTGGAAGGAACTTGGTGCACTCCAGAAATTCATCGAGCATTAGAAGTTGGCTATCGTATCGATAAAATATACTCGGCTTGGCACTATCCAGAACAAATGCAGTATTTATTCAGAGAATACATTGACCTGTTTTTGAAGCTGAAAACGGAAGCTTCTGGATATCCACCACAGTGTCAAACGGAAGATGAAAAAGACAGATATATTCAAGAATTCCTTGCTAAAGAAAATATTCTACTGGATAAAAAGAATATTGCGAAAAACGACGCATTGAGAGCTCTTTGCAAGCTTATGCTAAATAGTTTTTGGTACACATGTGAACTTATTTAATTTGTGCATGTTCATTATTTTTACGCTCATTGCAGGGGAAAATTTGGTCAACAGGAAGACCGATCCAACACGGATATGGTGGAAAAGAAAGAGGTATTCCATGATTACTTGTTTTCTAACAAGTACGAAGTCGCCGGGTTCGATTTGGTCACCGATGAAGTTATGGCAGTTCAATACCGCTCCAAGAAGGACTACATTGCGACGAGCAAAAAAGACCAATGTTGTTATCGCAGCTTTTACGACTGCGTACGCACGGCTACACTTATTAAAATTCATGGAAATGGTTGGAGACCGTTTGTTATACCACGATACAGGTGAACGCGCGAAACAGTATTATCGGCAAATTGCTCATCCACTTCTTTATTTTGCAGACAGCATTTTCTACATCCATAGAGACGATTTGCCCGATCCACCAACGGGAACGTGCTTGGGTGATTTGTCCTCGTCTTTACAGCCTGACGAGTACATTGACGAATTTGTAGCGCTTGGTAAAAGAATAATTATCTAGATAATAATATGCGAGCAACTTAAAATGTTAATTCTTTGTTGTCCCAGGACCAAAAAGCTATGCTTACCAGACAAATACTGGATGTGAAACGATAAAAGTCAAGGAATTTACGTTGACACGGCAAGCGAAAAAACAGCTAAACCTGGAAAGCCTGAAAGAGATGCTACTGGAAAGCCTGGCACCACCGGACCAGCCAAGCGGAATTACCGTGAATTATCCGTTCAACATAACACGCAATAAGCGCAAGCTGGAAGTTTCGTCGGCGGAAATTAACAAACGATTTAAACTTACTTACTCAAAACGTAGAATTGTTGACTCTGATTTTAACACTCGCCCATGGGGTGATGTTTCGATTGAGTAAATCATCAACTTCCAGTGCGGTGCAATTGTTAATAAAGGTCCTGACACTGTGGCTTGCTCCGAAAAATGCTTCCAGCAGTATTATAAGAATTAACATAACAATAATGCAAGTCCCCACCACGGCTTCGCAAAAGTTTTTTTTACACACAATGCGCGCCATTGTAACAAAAGTCACTTGTTTTTTTTTTCTAGATTTTATGCGTTCCGTGGTGCCTTTAATACTTACTTCCTCCCGAAAGACTGTAATTAGTTAACTATTGTATAAAATTTTAACTACATATATATATATATATATATATATATATATAGTATTATAGTATGCACTATGGACATACACTATACAATTGTGATGACTCATATTCTGGAGTTGGGAGCTGTAGTCATAAAGTCCAACCGGGAATTGCAGCTGGAAAGTGCAGCTCCCAACTCCAGTTTATGACGTTACCGACGCCATTTTATGTTTATACAATATACTGTTTCTTCTTACAACAACGTTTAAACTGTGCAGTACTTTTAATTGAAGTTTATTTCGGGTGAAGTTTACATTTTTCGCTAAATCGGACCATTTGCCGATCGAGCTCCAAATACGGGGAGATCTCCTATTTCGGGAAGAGCTTATGATTCGATAATAACGGTGGAACGTCAGTGTTCACTCAATCTTGAGTCTTACGTACCATCCATGAACTATAGACGCTTATTTTGGGAATTATAAAGAAGACGGATGCTCTATGCCCGCTTTAAATGATGTCTTTGCAGATTTGGAAGAAATGCACCTAGATGAGCTTACCCATCCGGTTCTGGCTAACATTCTCCTTCATCTGGATGTCGTTACTCAAACACGGTTGAGCCGGCAAGTCAACTGCAGTGTTGTTATCAAGGCTATTTAAACGGAGTGGCTATTTTGCCGCAGTTTTTGCGGCAAAATAGCATTTTGCTTTTGTGCCGCGGTATCTGCGGCTAGTTAGCTAGTTGGCTATTTTGCCGCACTGTGCGGCTTTTCAGCTGGTCAGCTATTTTACCGCAGTATGTTAGATGGATGTGATATATGTGGAATTTCTAGATTTACTGAATCTTGCTAGATCATAACTGACCGCAGAAACTTAAGTGATGCAACTGAGCGAACCATACGTTGATAGGTACACTACAATGGATTTTTTAGTTTTCTTAGGTTTCTTAGATTTCCTCTGTTTCTTAGGTTCCTCGGTTTCAATGGTTTCTTAGGTTTTCTTTGGTCGTTCTTAAGTTGCTCTTTCGATATCCTTAGTTTCTTAGGTTATTCTTTTTAGGTTGTTCTTAGGTTATTCTTAGATCTTCTTCTTAGGTTATTGTTAGGTTTTTAGGTATAGCCTGTGACTACTATGTGCGGCAAATTTGTTAACCAGCTAACTTGCCGCTGGCACTGCGGCCAAACAGCCTAAGGCTACTGAGCCGCAGTGTGCGGCAAAATAGCCAACGAGCTATATTGCCGCATATTGTTCCTACTGCGGCAGAATAGCCTTAGCCCTATTTAAAACAGACACTCTCAAGGCCGTTGTTGCGATGCTGCTTTGTAGTGTTGGGTAGTAAAAGTCCTTGCCAATATACTTATTTTTACTATCTGCTTTTGGAAGTTTACTTATTTTTACTTAGTATTCAAAATTTTTCGGGACTTTTACTTACTTTTACTTACTATTTCAATTTTTCCAAGGACATTTACTTACTAAATTAAAGTAAATTTACTAAATAAATATAATTTAGCATTGACAGTTTCGAAATGCCCTAGTTTCAGAGCGCAACAGACTACTGAAAATAGTGCAGATAAATTTCTTATGCATTAATCGAGCTATACAGGTGCATACTGAACAGTAAATATTGCTGCTTTTAGGGCGGCAGGCTGGCAGCCGACTACTGCGCACTCTGACTTTACCTGCGAGTGGCGGCTCCTGCCACGCCAGTTTTACGTAACGCTCATAAAACAAATTAGTAAATAATTTAGTAAATGATTTTTATTTATTCAACGCTGAACCTTAATATTTACTTACTTTTTACTATTCCGGCATACATTTACTTTTACTTACTTTGTTTCCAAAACCTTACTATTTACTACACTTTTAATATTAGGCGGACTTTTACTAAGTAAATGGCCGTTATTTAATTTTATTTAGTAGCACAACACTACTGCTTTGGCGTTGTTTAGTTTGCGCTTCGAGTAGTGATGTGCTACTAAATAAAACTAAATAAATGCCATTTAATTAGTAAAAGCTTCCCTAAAATTAAATGTGCAGTAAATAGTAAAGTTTTACAGGCAAAATTAGTAAAAGTAAGTAAATATTCAGCTACAATAGTAAATAGTAAGATTTGGCTTTCGCTGATTAAAAGTTATTTACTAATTCTTTTACTAATTGAGTTTCAGCGAATAACTAGATGAAAGACTCGTTGCTGTACTGGAGCAGGTTCATCATTAACAATTTAACGCTATTGCACACTAAAGTTGGTGCCTTAACAGTCGGTGGTACTGCTGCTCATGTAAACACGCGTAAACACGATGTACCGCCAACCCGAAACTGCGGTTGCGTTACGTATAACTATAGGAATTCATGAATGTATTTTTTATTCCTTCATGAAATGCACAAGCGTCCCAAATATGATAACCACATTGAATTAAAAATTTTAATAAATTTATTTAGTATAGCTAGTATGTAATTGGTTGGGAAAAATGGGAATAGTAAGTAATAGCAAGTATTTAAAAAATTTTGGGTTATTAGTAAGTAATAGTAAGTAAAAGTTTTGGAAGATTAGTAAATATGTAGTAAGTAAGGTAGCAGAAAGCTGTAGTATCACATCACTAGGCCTTCGAGATAACGGGTGATCCAATTATACAACATCACTTTCACTGTAATATACGTACAGATATCAGTTCCGCTTGCAGAGTACACGAAAGGATTATTACGCAGCACTGTTAAAATTATTACATAATGAGGAAGGTCCGGACAGCCGGGACTTAGTGGCCACACAGTTAAAAGCACCAGAATCATAGCAGACACCATTACTATCAGCCCGAACACCCTAAATATTTATGTGAAAATTAACTATAATGGAAAGTTTGTTACTGCCAATAATTTTCGTAACACGGTTCGAGGTTCTTTGTTTACTGGGGCTACGGCCAATAATTTTAGCAATACAGTACGATGTTCTTTGTTAACTGTGGCGATGGTTTCGAATAGGGTTTGCCCACTATGGATGCTTCTATTGCAAGAATACGCCGGCCGTCGGCATATTATCGTCGACGTAAGCCGGCTGTGTGCGCGCGACCCCGAGATGGCGGAATTCCGCTTTTACAATTACAGCTTCCAGTATAAATTCATCACAATCCTGGACCGAACCGTTTTGCCGTGCACACAAACACTGGCTGTTGTAGACACGACACATGATATGTTGTCAGCGCGCCAATCCTGATCGTTTTCGTCAAAACTCTGGATGATCAAAAACTTCTTAGGACTGAAGGGGTTCCACCTGAAGCGTATCATCGGAAAAAACCCTTGTGATGGCAGCTTTTGCGCAGACGGTCGAGTTTTTGATCTAAAGAAGAATGATCAGAGTGGAGTCTTTGAATGCAGCAATGTCTCCCAAGTGCTAACGGTGTCTCAAGAACTGCTGTTAATCAACTACACAGCGTCAAACTTGACCGGGACAAATTCACTGCTGGACAGCATTTTCCGCATCGATGGTACAGCCTGGCCGGAAGTGGCTGCAGAGCTCCGGCGGTTCGAAGATAGCACTGAATGGGATGTGCTCATTCCGCTCATGCGCGTTTGCTGCACGGAATCGGCCGCTGAACACTGCCGACGCTATGTAACAGCGTTGAACGAAAACTGCCCGAACGTCACGCAACGTGCTCGCGCAAAGGTCACGGACATGCATGGGCGCTGGGTGCGTAAGTTGGCCTATCCAACCGAATGGATCCATGTACGCTGGTTCTTCGCACTGTGAGTGACAAAGATTGGAAGAAGAACCATACGTTTCTGATGTATTCGCCAAGTTCTTGACCGTCCATCGTTCGCCGGTAACTGCATTGTTGTACTTTTGCAGGTTCAGCAGTTTTCGCTCGGATCACAGTTCCGAACGGTGGAGTAGAGCGGACTTGCGGGAACTGGACGTGTCGACGTTGAGCAAGGTAGCCGTACACATTCTGGACGGATGCTACAAAGACGGTAACGGAAACGAACGAAACTGACAACGAAGTCGCACCAAAGTGCTCTTTCGACGCCGTTTAAAAATTTATTCAACTACCCTCTTCTACACCTGAAATCTGGCGTGTTATAATTTTATTACCGATTACACAGCTTTGCAACTATAATTATACTTGTTAGCACTGTTAGCACTGCCTTCGTATTCCGAGTTAGAAATTTTTTGTCGTCTTGTGAATGGTAAATGGTGACTGCAGCTTGAGTTACTTTCTCTGTTGATACATTTCTCGGACATTGCATTAGCATAGTTTCTCATTACTGTACCATTGTTTTGTTAGCACGAAAATTACTACATTGACCGTGAAAAACGATGAACGTCGGTCCATTTTCTGTCGATTTGGTTTCTTCGACAACGCTTGTCCCTTCCAAGTTCCAGTCCCCCCATATTGATTATTGAATGGAAACAGGGAAAACTGCAAAGATGATTATACAGTGGTACAAGCAGCATCGCTACCGCGTAAAATTGTTACACGCTAGGTCAAGTAAGTGCTACGATGACGGACAGACCACAAGGCAATATAATAACTAATAGTAACTAATAGCCTGTTGCGCGTTATCTACCGTGTTTTTCGAATTAGTTGCCATGGGCTTCCATTATTTTTTTCGCGAACCTCGGCTAATATGGCGACGCATTTTGTAAAGATAAAGGCTGAGTATTGTGAAATTGTGGCTTATAAGGCAGATTAGGCTTCTGTTTTGGCGGAGGCTACTATTGATTTTCAAAAAACACGGTATGCATGTTTTTGATTTTCCAGTTGCAAGTGTAAATAAGAAGTACAAAAGCATAATTATAACGCATAAGCACAGCAGAACACAACCGAAAAACTGACACCCGAACGTTTTGATTCATTGGTTGTAGCCATTCTTAAACAACTGTGTGGCTGGGTTGCAACTGCATGACGACATCCAAATTAAGCAAGATAATCCCTAAAACTGGATGCAGAAGGTCCCTAGTGCACCATTCAAAGTCATCTTCAGAACGATTAGGTAGCTACTACTCAACTAGCTAGCATCGAGATTGGCACCGCCTACCACGGTCAGTGTCAGGCGGTTATCTCTGGACATGAAACTGTTCTCGAATTCTCAGTCAAAAATACTTCGCAACGTTAAAGTTAATCGATTTCAATCAAGTGCAGACTGCCAATGTATTCAACAAACTGTAGTCGTTTGATAACATGCGATCGTAATCGCTTTGGCTCGCCGAAATGGTGAAATGTGTCTGAGACGCATGCAATCGAAGTGAATACGAAAAGCGTGCATGCTTTTATTGCACAAGCCAAGCTCCATGCCGGTGACCTCATGTCCGCAATTTTCTTTGCTTTCCTTTGAACCGGATCTCCTTCACGCACAATGGATAAGGCAATCCGACCAAAAGAGCAGAATGACACAGGACCGAGACTTGAGAGCTGATAGTCTTTTGTCACAGTTTCGCTCAAAAATTCAAAAAAAATCATCAGCCGCACATTTTATAGATCTGCATTCAGCAATCAGACATAAAAACTGGTAATTATTTTGATGCAGCATGCTACACTTCAAGAACCATATTAATTTACGATATTATTTATGCATTTTATTACAAGTGATGGTTTACACTATTAAATGTAGACGATATTATTTATGCATTTATTTATGCAATTTACGATATTATTTATGCATTTTATTACAAGTGATGGTTTACACTATTAAATGTAGACAGTACATGCAGTAAATTACTGAGTAATTATTATTGCGAATTATTGCTTGTCTTTATTTATTAAACCCCCGGTGCTTGTGTTAAGCGTGCCGGTGGCATGCGCAGTCATGTTAATGTGTGTATGCCTTGTCCAGTTTAAAGCTACAAAAACTACAAAAGCTTTGAAGCAATTGAAATCCATAAGGACGCTGCGACGTCCGTAGCCCGGTAAAGAGCAATTCAGTTGCCGGATGCCCCCAAATGTGACTGTAGTGCGTTACTAGCATACTCAGCCAACTCGCGTAGCGGCTACAAATGGTGTAGCGAGGCTGTATCAACAAGTAGTATTTAGTTTGTACAGTTATTGCTAAGCAGAAGTGCCGCTCCTTCCAGCAGAAAGCGCAGTCCTTCATCTCCGCAGGATTTTGTAACTGCGGTACGCGCGGTGCCGTTAAGGTGTTGCGCAAAGTCCACCAGCACGCTGTGATCCAAAAACTTGGCAATAATTTGTGAATGCGGAAAAGGAGGAAGCAGTGTTCAGGCAGTGCTAACCTGCAGACGTATCGTTCAACCACGGACGCGTTGTAAGACAGTTGCCCACAGGGCAGCGGTGGTAACGGGAATTTAATTTGGAAGGCGTCCCAGTTGATGTAGTAACAATCAGTCAACGCCGCCGTAAACTGTTGCAGACTAATAGGCGACGCGCATAATTTGGCGGTAAAGATTTGCCATGCGGCCTTTTCGGAGCCGTCTTCATCCTTGAAAAAACGATTCTGCGGGTACCGTGCGTTCAGCGCATACAGGCAGCGCCCATAGTTTTCGTTCTTATTGCAAAAAAAATTGTCTTACCAGTAGTGCTTTTTTGTAAGGAAATTCGAAAAATAATTTCCGCTGCTTGCACCTATATTAACATGGCGAAAAAACTATACCGGCATGTCATGGCGGCAGCGTCAGCTGTTTGGTTAAGCCGCGCATCCGTCATGGGCCATTTCTCACACGTCTTGATCTTCATCTGCTCGTGCGACTGGCAATACTGGTCCCACAGAGTTTCGCAGCGGTGCAGCAGGCGGTAGCATGTTTCCGCTCCCATCGAAAGAGAAATGCCGCTGGTAAAGGCGAAGGTCCCTAACATAAAAAGAAAGGTTACTGTAGCCGCCCGCACAAGTTGCCCCACAGAGTGAGGTATACGGATATTTGGCCTCACATTGCTCGCTGTTCAGCGCAGTGTGTGCAGGGAGAAGGCAGCGGCCGGATCTGCCACTGGAGCAACTTGTGCGGGCGGCTACAGTATCTGCATTCTTTCAGGTGCTATTCTGCTCGGGCTTTATGATCCGCGCCTTTTAGTATGGCTTGATATGGGAATTTAAAAAAAGGCAAGATTCCTTCGCGCCAGGTTCCTCGTTTGCTTCTGAATGAGTATTAATATTAAATTTGTTACGCGGCTACGCCTAAAAGACTACCTACATCTCAAGCTGCTGCAAAGCGATGGCAAACGTCGATAAGGCGAGCTGGCGTCGATAAGAATCTGCTCTGGTCGATGTGTACGATTAGTGTGCGATCCTGAAGAATTTCTGCTAGTACATACTTCGCCATTCACAACCGCTATTCACTTTTATTGTAATTGCTGTACTATACAAGTTTAATAATCGACTTATGCATTTGTTGGCTACGAATAGCAGGAAATCAAGGAAACTGTAACCGTGGAAAGGATAGAACGTTAGTTCACAACCATTCTTGTGTTCAAGCCAGCCGGCGCTACTGATGGATTTCTGGATTGCTAATGTTGATCTTGTTTTTAGTCACTAACGTAAACAAATTCAATTTAATCTGAAGAGTGCAGGAAAGGTTCTCTATGTGAGGCAGTTAACAAGATGTTTGTGTACGAGATGCCAGACGAGCTGTGCATGCATAGAATTTGGTTGACACGGAAATCAGCAGACTGCTGCAGCACCGTCATATTACCGGCGCGCAAGAAAGCAGGTTATTAATGCCTTCGAAGATTATTGTTAATGTGCATGCTACTCGTATCTTTCATCGGAACGGAGAGTGCCGTGTGGGCATGTGGAAGTTCTCGGCTAGGAAGTAGTGTCTGCTGCGCACCTTAGTGCGCGCGCTTGCCGGTTTCCAGTCCCTGCACCTAAAACCCTCTTTATTTGGCGTTAGACAAGTAAAACAGAAAACAAGTCGGGTGTGGCGGGTGGAAAAGAAAAAGCCTGCATGTGACTGCTAGCCTTGCAAAACAGAAATGAACTGCGATGTGAGCAGCGAGTAATCTCGAAACCATCGACGCCGTGCTGGCGCTGTATAACCAGCCCAATGCTCGTACGCCACATTATGAACAATCAAACACGTTTAAATGGACATTAATTATCATACAACTGCACCAATTACGTATAACAGCAATATAACACCAAGATTTCAACTACAACACATCCAGCATCACATGAGAGGTTACGCTCACCGCCTACTTTCGGACGAGAACTTACAGAATCTTTTTGAGACATATGGTGCGCGACTAGTACCGAAGGGCTCCTCTCGCGAGGATGATACAGGAGATCGGAAGTGTCTCCCAGCGTTGCGGCCGCAATAAATGAGAAAAAACGGCTTTTGCAAAAACACTGGTGGTTTATGGCGACCACTAGCAGTAAAAGCGGGTTTGAGAAGGCGGAAATGGTTTGAAAACGAATAAACGATGACCAGATATGTTTTGTAACTTTGACTGATCGGAGAGAGGATCTAGCTACACCATGGTGTGACGCGATCCTCTCTGGCCTCTGCTTAGACCGAGGCAGTCATCAAATTAAGAAAAAACCTTGAAGCCAAAATCTGAATGAGAAAGTTTCTTTGTTTATGACGTGAAGTTAAAGGGCCACCGAGTCGCCAACGGGCCGAAAAAGGAGCATTCCTGTATAAATCCTTCTGAAAAAACTGGTGTTTTAATGCTTTAACGTGCCTACCATTTTGAAAACAGTAATCTGTGACTGGCGAAATCGTCCCCACTAATGTCTGTGTAGGACAAATGTTGATGGTACTGTTGACATAAAAGACTTGCACGGAAGCTGGGTTTTAAGACGAGAGGTACCCAACAAATGGTTAAATCGATGACCTTTTAAAAACTGCTACTGGCATTACCAAACCGAAGATTCACAACACATTCCGCAAACAACACTGCCGTGAGTATGTGTTGGCGGTGACCAACGCACAGGCACCACGAGATACTTGTGGCGTGAGTATATACGGCTAACGTTCTCGTTCCGACTTTTGGTGTCAAAGTGTTTTTTTTTGTCTGATGAATAGCTCGGCCTGTTGCGCGATCGGCGGTGAAAAGTAAAGTTTATTTAAAACACGCTGCCTTTTTATGGCACCATCTTGCCTATGAAGCAGACCGATCTGGCAAAGTCGCATCGATAGGTTCCACGACAGGTCCAGGCTAAAGGATCATCCAAATTCTCAATAATCCATCCGGAAATCAGGAGCCAATCGGGGAATGGAGATGCAGTTAGAGCCGATATTAGGCCACGATGGCAACATTCGGAATGGTGTTCAGATTCTCTCTGGTATTCCTGGCGGCGGCAATTTCTCTGCCTGCAGAAATCCTAACCAGTATGACTTGATTGTTAATTTTTGCTTTGCACAGCCGGCGCCAACAGTTGCGTATGTTACCGAGGGTCAGGATGAAAATCAAAGGATCTAGGACCGTCTGGACGATATAGACACTGACTGCGGTTCGATACAGGGCGGGGTGCAGTTTAGTATATGAGGACTGTAGGTGAGAATAATATTGCAGCACATGATCGGCCACCAGCAAAACAAAGTACTCCCGGTGTATAACGTCAGCAGCAAAAAGGGGCGTCCGCCTTCTGGTCGAGTGGGCGTTTGTGCAGCTGGATTAGCAACGGGTCTGACTGCTCGTCGTCGCGAGTACATCTTCCACAGTAAGAATGGGAAGACGACCGGAATGCCCACCTTGGGTACGTTATAGATTAGAAAAGTCGTCAACGCAGCGAGAGCCGGCTGGTGGTTGTTATTCAGCCGGCAGCCTCCTTCTAGTGGCAGACGATAGAAGAGACGATCCCGAATCAGCAGCGGCAGCATGAAACTACGCACATAGACCATCACGGCGCCGCAGAAGATGCCGGCGATTTTTCGATTGTGGCGGGAACGGTAGGAGATGGGTCCGAAGAGTGCCCAGGCGCGATTCAGCGTTACCAGCCAGTGGAAGTTGTATATGAGAGGGGATATGACGTATGTGGCATACAAGTGTATGGTGCACAGGGAGTGACCCAGCCTCACTGACCCGTACGTACGCTCCGCGATGTCCAGTGCACGGTCCAGACATCCGAAGGCCACATTACTGCACAGTATGGCGACAATGTACATGTTGAAGGGTGTCCGCAGGGATGCCTGGATCATCGTCACCAGCACCGCCAGGGTGTTGAGCGTAACGACCAATATTCCGGTGCTGAAGGTGCCGCCATCCAAGGAGACGTTTAGCGGCGGTGAGAAAGGCCGGGAGTCCGAATGGTTGATGGCCGATAGATTATGGGTTATTGTCGCGTTCAAGTCCATTTTAGTCAAAGCCCAAAACCTGCTAGATAAGGCTGCTACTCTTGGGAATTAAACATGAATGCGGCACTTGCGCCCAATAATCCAACTGTGTCGAGTGAGACGGGTAAATCAGAAGGGTCAGTTCTGAGAGAGCCTTTAATATGCTCAGGCAAACGGATGCGAAGCCGATTCACGAACATGTCCTACATACCACAGAATAATTTCCGCTTGACAAACGCATAAGAGAAGGTTAATGGAAGTAATATAGGTTAATTGAAGCAGCCATAAGAACTGCAACCGTTTCCAATTCCACTTACATATATAATTCCCGATGGATTCATATCCTTATGAAGTGCAACAAAAGCCGATCCCTGCCCCGGATGACTGGCTCAGATTGAAAAAAGCCATTAACAACAGCTGTTGCAAAATTGCTCTATTTTTCTTTGCAGGCCGCACGTTATTACTGACTCGTCAAAATCAAGTTCATTTGGAGGTGGTTTATAGTTAGCATACAAGGTCAACGAAGAACGCGGCACTTGGTTCGATAATTATATTATGCATCAACAGTGCATAATGCGATGCGGAACAAGAAGTGGGATCGATACTATCAATGTTGAGAAAACAGAGACATCATCATCTTTGAGACTCAATAAAGAAAAATCTGTCTTGCCGCATACAACTGTTCGTGTTTGGAAAGCCGTGACAAATAGGATAATTTTAAACTATAGCTTCCACTGGCTCGCTTATAGCGCACTGCGCATGAGCATTTTTCAGAAACGCTGTCACGCAGACATTGGGTACTGGCTTAATTTTGCCCGGTATTTTACAAGAACTGGCAATTCAGTGCGTGCAGCAGTAACTGAGCTACCGCGCGTGCAATAATCAATAATTTTTGGACGCGCTATAGTTTGCAGTACATTTACTGACAGTGTGTTTCCGATGCCAATACAAAATGCACAGTGAAAAATTTCAGTCTTATAAACTTGTCAGACACTTCTTAGTAGTTCCGATGCTCCACTTCCGAATTCCGGTTAGCCAAACGGAGCAGCCTGCAAACCCTTTACATTTGCCTTAATTAGGCAATAAGTCATGCATTAACGCAAGTAATTGATTGAAACAGGAAATTGTCGGTGCTTATTCAGATGTGGATTCAAAACTGCATCAAAACTCACCGAAATTTTGCATATTTCAATTGAATGCGCTCATTTCAATCACTCGGAAAATATTCCCAAGAACTATGCATGGACCAGTTTTATTTTGAAATTTGGCCAAGAATCGTAATGATTTGGTTTGAAAGAAGATTGAAATTTTCAAGTGTAACCATGCCTAATTTACAACAGTTGTAAGCAACGACGTCGTAGGGTTTAAGAACGACATAACGTTAAGCAATAACAAAATAATAGACTTGGGCAAAAACCTTTTGTTCTTTGCATTACGTCACCTGGAAGCTGAAACCTCTGGGAAAAATTTTCTTATAGCAATTATTACCTAATTTTGCAAAAATTATTTTACTTTACAACAAGTTTTTCACGGATTATTTTACGAAAGCTCAAAACGTTTTAATTTCTAGCCTCGATGAAGTAACGTTGATGTGAAGGAAGATCGGAGCCGGATAAAACGCACATTCGTTTCTTGCGAAAACGCTTGCAAACAGATCATTTTTCGGCAGATACAATAATCATTATGGTTTTTGATCCTGTCTTCAATGGAACAGTTTCAAAGTTTCACCGGTATAATTTAGCAATCTGCCTACTGAACCAGCTTAAATGGCAAACTGACGGTACTCAGCAGAACACAGGCAGCAGTTTTCCGCTCACTCTGTCTGGAGTTGAAAGTTTGCACCCATAAAATCTTTAATTCATCCATACTTCCGTAGATCGATACGCTGAATACCGGTGATTTTCTGTACATTATCGAATTCACGTTTGATTAAGCGCTAAAGGGTTCTGGCGGCAGTCAGTTTTACGTTAATGCATGACTTGTGGCTAGCAAATTTGCACATTTAAAATGTACGAAAACTACGAATACGATTCCGCCTGACTGAACACAATTCAGAAATTGAGTAACGGGAACTCTGAAGACTGTCTGACAATTATATGAGTCTGCAATTTTCCCGTCTGCATGTTGTGTTGGCATCGGAAACACAATGTCAGTAAATGAACTGCCGATTACACCGCGTCTAGTATAACTTCTAACTATTGCGTGCAGCCGTAAATGAGCCACCGTGCGCCTAAAAATCAATTATCATTCCGCGCACGGTGCAAGGTGCAGCTGTACGCCGCGTAGCCGGCCTCCAAGAAAGCATCCGTTGCCGCCACGGAAACAGCTTTGCTGCACATCTCAGCGAAAGTCAGGATCCTTTCAAACTGATGGCATGTGACCCGACAGTCTTGCCGGTTGATGGGATCCAGCCCCAGGCAAGGCAAGCTTCCGCAAGCAGCACTGGTGGAAGCCACAAATAGCTATCGGCGACGTCCAACCGCTGACGCGTCGCCGCTCCCGTTAATTCCAAACGTAATATACATTAATCATTAATAAAGAACAACACGATTTTTTATAGCAATAAAAGGTCATTAAACTTTTCTGCTCCTTCCATTGCAAACTCAGATTGTTAAGATGCTGGGACTTTTTCCCATTCACCGCAAATTTACCCAGAGCGTAATTAAATATCTTGCCGCTGTGCGTGAAGTACTAACCAAGCGCAGTCAACCCAATCGTGCATTACCCAAGCAACATTTATTGTGTTCTTTTAAGCGATTCTGCAGATTCTCGGTAAATACCGGGATACATTCCGCAGCGTACCATTGTAGATTCTGAACGTCATCGTCAGCAAATACCGCACGGTAGTGAATCGCGGGTCAAGTTAACGATTGCCCTTCCTGAATGTGTACCAACTGTTCAGAACGGTGAATTGAGCGGATTAGATAACATTTATTTTGAAATCCACAAAGAGCACATAATGCAACGCTAGCTTAAAAGAAGGCTGAGCAAACGGATTTTCTATAAATAGACAAATTGTTGCACGGACACAGTCTTGTATGGAACGGTTAAATGAAAGTTGACGATTAACAGGTACAGTGCATGTAAGACAACAGAACGTGAGCAACACCAGTCGGTCCATGATTCCAAAATGGTGCAATAAAACCCGCAAGCAATGTGCAGCCGGAACACAACAACGCCATATGCATGCTCTGAGTTCGAGCAGGAAAGCGTTTTGTGGGAGCAATACTTTGACATTCGCTTTTCGGACATTTTGGGAATCCGGATTGACGTGATTCTCCGCGTTGCTTCACATGACAATAGCTTATTAAAAGCTGGCTACGTGGTTTTTATACAAGTTTATACATAAGATTAATAAAAATTCATCATGACGTTTTCCTATGTGGATCAATTTATCAACGTAGAGAAAACCATGTCTCCAGTACAGGAATCCGTATTGCAAAAGTATCCGAAACGCGATGAACTTCGCAGTATGCTACAGTTAGGCGTACAGGGATAATTACAAGTCTTCCAAACAAAATTAAGACAACGCTTCCGCCGGTAAACAGCAAAACTGCAGTTAACCATTGGCCATTTGATTCCGTACGGAGCCGACAGTGTTCCTCAACGATCGATAGTGGCAGTGATTTGGGAACTGGGAAAACTAAAAGGCTAACCGTCTCCGGCTTTCATTCAGAGCGACCGCCGTCAGTTGGGTCAGCTGGTTGACATCCAGCGTGGAGATATTGGCCTTGGACCACTCGCACTCGTGGAAATGGGAGGACGGGCGCGGGTCTGCGCTCTGATAGTAACGCAGTGTCTGCAAAACACCCGACAGACAAAGCTTTACAGCATTTACGTATCTCACCAAATTAAGCCAAAAACATGTAATTAACAAAAAATTTCAAAATTAACAAAAAATTGTTCCAGTGGCCTGGAAAAATATCTCTACCAAGAGGAGGAGCCTGCGTACATGCCTGCCCGGTTATCCAGCATGCAACAATACAGCCAAAGACGACAAAAACGCAGAAGTTACGTCAAACTACGCACAACAGCGTCATTTTTGTTCCACGGCGTGGCCGGTGCGCGCGAAATATTGATATGAAATCAGATATTGCAAATATTAAACAATGTATTACTAGAAAAGTAGATAAAAACTGGTAACTGACCAGAAGTATTAAATTTGTCTTCATTATGGTTGTATGTGCAGCCACTGGCCATTCGCTCGAACTGTGAACCGCTCAACGTAAAACTACATTAGCTGAGGGTGCTGCGCGTTAAATTTCAGGATAGGCTTGTACTGCTAAGACGGTAATCATAGTCTTAAGAAGAATGAGCTAAGAAACCTAAGAAGAACCTAAGAAGAGCCTAAGGGGAGCCAAGAAAACTATGTGAGAATAACGTACCGGCACTAGAAGATCTCTAACCGGCTCGTCTTCGTTTTCCGTAAATTGCGCAACGCAGCCAGCTATCCACCCGGCCAACTCCGGTCGATTCAGCGGACTGCGGAGAATGAGACCGGTTTCAAACAGATCCCACATCTGCAGCTCGATCTGATCTCGCAGGTCCACGCTGAAGGAGTGCTGCGCTACAAATGCTTCGAGAGGATCATCGAGCATCCAGCAGTTCTTCAGGATCACTCTGTCGCACGGCGAACACCGGCCGATCAGACGAGTCATGTCCTCCATAAGATCGGGAAAAAACAAATCGAAGCCAAGACCAAAACCACAGTCATGGAACACCAGCGCCCACAGGCGGCCGGGGCTGATAAGGCTCCTGATCAAACCGGTGATGTGATGGGCCTGGGGTGTGTCCAGCTGAGTAACAACCACCATCCTGGTTGCGCGGCTGAGGCATTTGAGTAGTCCAGCCGCCGGCAAGTACAAGCCGTGGGTGTCGAACGGTATTTCGTCGTACTCCGCCTCGGCATGGCCCCCGCATCCACGGACACGCGCACATCGGAAAAGTGTCCGTCCGTGTTGAGCAGCGTGTTCCACAAGGGACACACCCGCCGACAGCGAAAGCGCTGCATGGAGTCCAGCGAGCGGAAGACCTCTAGCAGCAGTACCGGCGGTAGCGACATGCCACCATCAGTTTCGGAAGGCTCAACTGGGCTCATGATCATCGGCTGCGCTGTTCGGGGTGACCGTGACCGTGACCACGTCGCCTTCTCCTGCGCAGCGGCGCAAACGTTTTCCTGCAGCCAGCCACATCATTCAGCAATATGATCACGTGCAGCAGATTAATAAATACGATATATAACTGTATCAGGTTGCTAGGGAACGGTGTTGGCTGGAATGAAAAGACCGAAGGGAAGCGGGAAACGAGATTAGCATTAGTCTGTTTACTGGGTTCAAAGACACATACTGTACGTTTCGTAATTCGTAGTATGTCTATCCAAGCACGGCAGATCTGTTTACTGGCTTCAGTAGCTTGGTGCTTAATTTTTTGTGAAAATACATAGTATTTAACTTTATAATTGCTGCTTTACTAAATTAACACAAAAATTAATGGGATAGTATTAATTTAACTTTAAAAAACCTAAGAAAATTATTTTTCAGCAAATTTTTAGAACAAACAATTTTACCGATATTTTTAAAAAAACCACTTCAAGCTTATTTTGCCATGCTCAGTTCGTTTTGGCGACCGTTTCCTCACGCTCCAACTGGGATCATTTTTTTATTTGATTAATGAATATTGTTTTTGTGACGCTGTCTACTATACTCAAGGTTAATACATTTTGCCATTTTACTTAAGTACTTTATTCATAACCATTCAGTGTTTTATTTTGCTTTTATTCACGAGGCGCATACCCCAACTCTTGATTCTCTGATCAGCCTGTGCTTGGTATCGTTAGAATCCTTAGAAATTAAGCGTTATTTTGCAAAAATTAACTTTTCCCCAGCTAAAGAACTGGGATTTAGAGATCGCTGAGAAACCAACGCATACATGATGGCTGACTTCGATCAGAACGTCAGCATGCGCCATACGCATTTGTGCGCAGTACCTGCGACTAGTCTCGCTTCGACACTGTTGATTCTGTATTGTGTTTTCTCGATTACTCCTACACGCCACGCGAGGGAACCGAAGGTGGGCTCGGAACTTTACTTCCTTTGGGCATTTATGCCGAACATGGCCGGAAACGGCCCCGAAGCCATCGCAGACAGAAAACAACAACAAACAAAAATTTTTCCTCTGGCAAATGCAAATGACGCGAGTAACAGTGCACATTTCCCTATTTATAGCCTTCACATGCATTTAACAAGAACACTACAGAGAGACGTGTCGTGTGTCGTAATACGCGGATTCCTTCGTCCGGCTGAATCCGTTCCATTACTCCTACACGCCACGCGAGGGAACCGAAGGTGGGCTCGGAACTTTACTTCCTTTGGGCATTTATGCCGAACATGGCCGGAAACGGCCCCGAAGCCCAAGAAACCCAAGACAAAAAACAACAGGAGCATGATCCGATGCCGCGCAGCATAGAAGACGACGAAGAGTTCACAATTACAAAGGCTGAATCCCGGGATTCCGGGCAATCGGACAAGGATAATCAGGAATGTACGGAATTCCGCGCATTTCCCAATGCATTAATGGGATACACAATAATAAAAAAAAATAAAGTAATTCTCTGGCGGAAATCACGCTCAGCGCATTACGGTGCTAGGAATGTATGCAGTCGCCGGGCCGTATACACAAAGCAGGGTGCTTAGGAAGTCCTGTCGCATCCCACGGCTACAGCAAAACGTTATCAACCGTTGTCCAGTCAATTTGGGAATTCCACAGATTGACCTGAATACACGCAAAATGAGGTCCGCATCGCGGAGGGAAGGCCAAAAGCTCACAACAACAATGCACATCAAAAATTCGCACAGATAAGGCAGTGGATCCGGGAAATGTCAAGTAAATGACCCGGTAATGACACGATTGGAGCAGCTGTAATTTATTAATGATGGCAAACTGGCGTAAGCGATGATAAAGTCCGGGTCAGAAGAACAATTAAAATCAGCACTTTGTAGAAATTGCACAGAAAACAAACCAGTACAGGAACTACAGGTCACGGTGGTTGAAGGTTATTTGGCGCTGGTTGCTGGATGCTGGCTGCAAGCAGAAGCACGGTGATCCTTTCGGCAAAACCCGCAAACATGTGGAAAACGGCAAGGGACATCTCGGCAAGCTCGGAGCTCGTTATAATTAAAGCAACAATAATGTGGGTAGCGGGATTCCGTTGTAGTTGTGCGATTCGCCTGGGGAAAGTTGACCTTGGCATTACCCGCTTGGAATCCGCAGTTTCGGCGGGAATCCGCTGAAAAGTACCCATCTGCTGTGCAGTCGCGACGCAAAGTGTCCGAAAGGTCAAACTTTTCAATCTCGGCTTCCTCACGAAATTCACAATCAAACGCTACAATAGCTGTGTCGTCGTACATACAGCGTTTGCGCGACAAGTAGACCTGGTATTCCAAGAACTCAATCAGCACCGGTAAGGCGTTGACCTTCCGTGCGAGGTCTAAGGCAGCCATAATGTTGCCGGCAAACAGTTCGTCGCATGAGATTTCATGCGGCTTAACATCCTTAGCGGCTTTGTGAGCTGCCTTCACGAATGGAAGCGTATGTGGTCTGGGTAATTCTCGGGCCTGGACGGACGTTCGGCCGCTCTGGGTGGAACTGCTGGAAGTACTTCCTGGGCTAATAGAGCCTTCTTTGTCCGAAGCTGACTGGTGGTGCTTGGTGGTGCGGTTTGGGGAACGACTGCAGCGGGAAGGCAGATCCTTGCCGGTTTCCGTCGCAGCAGAATGGCCGGCAGCGTGTTCCATGACAAACACCTCAAGCCGGTTGCGGTCACGCGTGTTGCTGATGAAGTCCAAATTGTCGGGAAATTTCCTGACCTTCGCCAACAGCATAACATCGTCAAGGGAATTGTATCCGTTGTCAAAGAGCTGGGAAACGGACGCTGCCGAAATTCCGATGGCTGCAGTCAGCTGTGAAGGGGGATCACCATCACCTGCTGCTGCGTCCTCCCCAGGATCCGAAGATTCATCCGGATGAAACAAATCGTAGAGCCGCTTGACAAGAACGGGTTTTGTTTCGTCAAATGCCTGCTCGCCTTCCTCTTCGACAATGAGCCGTTTGACCTCTTGGAGGTTCAAGCGGCCCAACTTCTTAAGGTTAAACGTGCGAGCTTCTTCAATAGTTACGGACATGATAACACGGTAAGGGTTAAACTGCTAAACCTAAAAAACGGTGGATAAGAATTAAAAATTTTTCCTCTGGCAAATGCAAATGACGCGAGTAACAGTGCACATTTCCCTATTTATAGCCTTCACATGCATTTAACAAGAACAATACAGAGAGACGTGTCGTGTGTCGTAATACGCGGATTCCTTCGTCCGGCTGAATCCGTTCCATTGCTGTCTCACCTTTTTTGCCCTACCGCGCGCCAGCGTCCACTGTTGCATTGATTCCGATGCAGCCAGTCGATGCTAGTACGGGCAGTGAGGCAAAAAGGTGCGATAGCTATCGTCAAAGCACTGTTTTGTAATCTCGATAAAAGACTGTTGCGTAAGCATTAATCCGTACATGGAAGCCGTAGATCGGTCTGAATAGCGTCTGCTGACGTTCTGGTCGAAGTTAACCATCATGTATGCGTAGGTTTCTCAGAGATCTCTAAATCCCAGTTCTTTCGCTGGGGAAAAGTTGATTTTTGGAAAAGATTGCTTAATTTTTAAGGATTCTAACGATACCAAGCGTAGACTGGTCAGAAAATCAAGAGCTGGGGTACGCGCCTCGTCAATGCAACTTATTTATGAAATGTTTACATTTTATTTCTTTTTTAATATTCTGTTTTGTGTTTACTAAACTTTGTATAACTAATTTTGTGTTTACAACAGCTGCCTCAGTATTTCTGATAATGATGTATGTGAATACTAATCGGTCAAGCGCTGGCATCGATCGATATTAAATATCGATAGCACTCCATATCGTGATATATCGATATCACTCCATAACCTTGCCGAATTATAATGATTAAGAAGCTTACCAAGTAGCTAGCAGTTAGCGGCCGGGCATCCCGACGTTGCAGATAGCGCAACGTCCGCTTGCGCGGACAGAATGAGATGCACACGATGTCTAACTGTCGCGCCAGCTCCCGCTTTAGGGTCTCCGCAAACAGCGGCGAAACACCTGCGCGGTGCGCCTCGGGCAGTCCATCAAAGCGGACCACAAAGTCCTTCTCTAACACACAACATCCCTCCCAGTCCCCGTCCGCGGGCGGTGGACGCACCTGGCCGCGGGGTACCAGCTCCTGGATACTGCCGGGCAGCGGCACTTGAACGCGTACGAAATTCTCATTAAGGTAGGCTCCCATGTCGACCATCGCTGCAGGATACCAAATCCACGCGCCATCGGGCGGACGGTGCAAGAGGACTTGCACGGCGCCCGGTGGCGGGAGCGAGTGGTCGTCGCCTCTGCTGTTGAAGCGGAAAATGCTTCCGTACTTGATTAACTGCGCCCGCTGTCCCGCACACAGGAAATCAATGATCAGACCGTCCTTGGCCACGTCGATGACTTCACCGTGCTGCAGGAGTCCATCGACGAGGACGTCCACGGCGTTCCACGCGTTTATCGGGTGCTCATCGTCTCCGCACAGATGCATCGCGCTGCTCGGTTCGGATAATGTGAGTCTCAAAAGTCGAGAAGCAATATTCTGAAAATGTGCACTTTCAATGTTTTATTCCCTGAATTCTAAGGTATAATCATCCATGAAACACGCTGCACTGGAAAAACACGAGTGACTTACAGTATCCTAGTTTTTCCAGTTCGATTTCAAAATGTGTAACGATATTCCATGCATCTTTGCACTGGCACATGTTTAAACGTGCAGTCTTCTCTAGGCGGTAGGCGCGGGCAAAATTTGCAGAACAGCCACCCACCCTTGGAAGCCGAGTTTCATACAATAGTGTACTGTACATAATTTGATTTAATTGCAATCAGAGCAGGTAGCCCATTTCCATTTTCGGTTAGGTTAACAGTCTAGCATGGAATTTTCAACCGGGCTGAACATCAAGAACTAATGTCGAAAAATCAGCATCCAATAACCACGATTTCAGAAAAAACACACAGGCAGAAAACAGAACGGTACAAAATTAAGAGTACAAAACCCCACATGAAAAAACAGGAGATAATTAAAAACAAACAACACAACATCTGGAGGTCACGGTGGTGCATACGTGAAATTAACTGAACGTCGCAAATAATTATACAATATAATTAGTGGCGTATTTATATACTGTTTTTATGAAATAACTGCACATCTTCAAATTTTCAGTAAATAAGCGAATCATGCAGAGCCTGTACTTTGTCCACTGTCCATGTCCTTGCCCAGCCACGGCCGTCCTCTATCTGAGGAGGCCACGTCTATCCACCGTCCATCCGTCCAGTTCGTCCACGTTCGCTAATTAGTAATACCCCGCGATTGGCACATGACACGGTGAAAAGTGAAAACCTTTACGGTCGATGTGTTAAGTGTTCACGTCTAGATTGGCAATGGCCGAGGCCGTCCAGCGCCACGCTGACAGCAATGAAAAAGCTCTCATGAATATGATTCCATCATACAAGTGTCGCGTGAAGCGGGAACACAACACGATAGCAAAATTAATAATGCGAATCATGTACGATTATGTGGTTTGAGAAGCGCATAGACACCATAGATGGAAAAGAAAAGTGACCAGCTGCACTTGTTGGCAAATTGAAAAATGCCCGTGATTCATACAGCCAGCACTCAATCTGTGATCTTATCTGTAACTGCCAAGCCACTCGCGCTGCGAAGTCATTAGCGCCCAGCGCTGCGATGCCCGAAACGGCCCACGCTGAAACTTGGATTCGAGCTCGGATTTGGATAACTCAACGGGTCAGCCAAGTTTACCTTCACCGCCCGTTCGCCTTTACCTTTACAGTAATGGTAAACGCCTCTTTCAAGTTTACCTTTGCCTTTACCGTTGCCATCGCAGAAAACTTCAGCGTTCTTTAGTTGACCGTTCCAAAAGCCTTCTCGATTACCTGTGCCGGTGCCACACAGGCAACGCTGAACATGGATTTGGATTGTCTAGCATCGCCGGCACCGCTTACGATGAAGGGCGTGATAAATCAACTGACATCATCGTCGGGTGAGGACCTGTTCGGGATCTGATTCTGACACGTAAGTTTTCTCAGATGTCAGGGTTTATTTCGAATTCTTTAAGTAAAAATTTATCAGGAATTATTCCATCGCAAGGGAAGAAACGAAGTCCAATGATGAGGACACAGATGAATATAAATTTACGCCTCCAGGGGCAGCCTTCGCGCTGACCGGAACTACTGATGCTAAAAGCACAGAAAAATAACACTCCTTGCTTGGGCCAGGTTACTCATGGTAAACGATTGTTTTCTTCAGTAGCTTACTCTAGAAAAACTAATTTTTCTTGAAAGGCAAATTTTTCGGACGCAATGAAGGGTCGAATTTACATAAAGTCAGCGCAAGCAACTTTGAGCGACCCATATGAAGCACTAAAGCTTCTTTGCTTTGAAGAAGATTGCGCCACTTCTGCGACGTCTGCCTCGAATAAACTGAGAAAGTTACCAGTACGAGGTATTTCCGATTTTAACTGCAGTAAGTTAACTGTATTTACATCTTTCGTTGTCGTTGCTTTATCATAAGCGTTTCTTTTAGTATTGTCAGAATTCAATGGTAAACTGCCTGACGCTATTCTGTCATGCAAAGGTCCCAGGCAACGGCAAAGGTAATTAAGAAAGCTTTTTGGAACGGTTAATTGAAATTGGGAGGTTTTTTCGATGGTAAAGGCAAAGGTAGCCTTGAAAAAGGCAGACTGTAAAGGCAAAGGCAAACAGGCGACAAAAGCAAACTTTGCCGGCCCGGCCGTAACCGGCCCATGTCAAAAGGAGGAAGGAAGTTTTCGAATAAGGAAATTTGTCGGGGTCAAAAGTAGGAAGGAAATTTTTCCGGTCAAAAAGAGGAAGGAAAATTTCATGGTACATGATAAAATTTTTAATTTAGTTTTATAAGTGGATAATTAATTTAGGGGATCGTAAGTGGGTAAGCATAATGTATAACGGCAGTTATCAGCATGTCAGTGTATTGCGCCAGCTATCTCGTTGTACAAAAGTTTTTTCAAACGAAATTTCATTTACCAGCTCCCGGAAGCGCTTCGGAACATGTGCAATCGCGTTACAGAAAATATTTTCTAAAACAAAAATTTATTCAAAAACACGAAACTACAAAAACGCAACGAGAAAACTTGAACCAAAATTACCAAAAGTAAAAACCTAACATTAAATTAAAGCAATAATGGAAATGACGAACGGTACTCGTTATGTCTAGAGTCAACGAGAATAAATGTAAAAACAACAAATTATATTGGTGAGAGTGTAGAGTAAGAAACCCACAATCTGGCGTACAAGCAGAACGAAAAGAATATTCCCTACACTTCCGTGCGGAGTTGCGCGACAAACGCGGTTCTTCGTAAAATTTTAACAGGAAATTAAGGTTGACCGCGTAAATAAGTCCCGGAAATTAAAAGTTAAAATTAATTAAATTAGATTTACTGCCGACTAGCGAATCTTTATGAGAACTGTAAGACTTCAACCACGAATTATTATTTGAAAATTTATCAGTTTAGCGCGCCTTCTTTCTTTGTTAGGCTCTTGAGTTTTTGGAACATTCTTCTGTGTCCTGTGTCAGACACAAAAAGTAAGTAAAACTACTCGGAAAATTTAAAATGGCCTTTTTTATACCATATACCCGTTTATACCATATTCCGATTGGGCCACCGGCCGGGACGAAGAGCAGCGCCTTTCGATGCCTTAAGGTCGGCTTTTCTGTTCGCAGTTCGCATCAACTTTTTTGCCTTCGCCTGACGAGGTTGGCCCTACCACTACTGAATATGCTGGGATCCTGTTGCGGAAATTCTCCAGAAACTTAGACATTCTGATTATATGTGTGCCACTGCGAGCAAATCACAATAAAACGATTTTGTTTTGAAATTCGCACAGTTGCACTCGGCGGTATCATCTGTTGACTACTTGACCTTCGCATAGGACCGGTATGGCTTCCACTTAAAAGACGTTGCTGTCCATTTACGCCGACGCGTTGTGGACCTTCCGGCATTTGATCTGTTGGTACGGAAGTTTTCAACAGACCTTCTGCATAGGTGAAACTCAAAAATTTTCTTTATGACAGAAATGCTGCAAGAGGAGTGATGCGGTGTGTAGAGTGCGCCCATGTGTCCCGGCGCCTTACCCGGCTACTGGCTAGATTGCAGTTGTCTCTCGTCAGCTGTGCAGGTCTAAACCTGGGGAAGTTTGGTTGTTTTGATGAGCATCAAAGAGATCAGACAAGATCGTATTTTCTTGTTATCGTGATTCGTGAAAAGCTCTTGTCCGTAAATTTATTTGGCTTCGCGGCGCGCGCATTAGTTTATGTCATGCCGATGTCCAGTGCCGCTGTGATTAAGTGCATGGCAAATCTACATTATTATGCGCTCATTCATTAGCAAAGAATAAATATATTCTGTCATCTACGATTGCTATTAAAATTAAGCATTTCCTTTTTTTAAAATAGCCGTGTAAGAAGAAATGTTTCGAAGCCTGTGATCATTTTTTCTGTCAGAAAAATTTCGATTTTGTCAAAACAATCCTTCCTCTTTTTGACCTGAGCAATTTCCTTCCCCTTTTTTACCACAAAGAATTTATCTCCTCGAAAATTTCCTTCCTCATTTTGACCACACACAATTTCCTTCCTTCTTTCGATATTGGCCACTCACACCTGAACTTATGCTAAGTCCGTACTTCGGTTGTAAGAAACAGCTGTAAGAAAAAGTTGTTTGGTTACGGTTGCATATTTTCACTTTCTGAAATTCAAGAAATGCAGGCAATGAAATGGAGATACAGCTTTTCGCTGACATTTGTAAGCCCTGGTCAAAATTCCGTTTTCAGCGCTTATGGCTAGTTAATTCCGAATATGGCAGCGCAGGAAATACACGGAAAAAGCCAGGCGGACAAAATGTAAGGTCAAAGTATCTTTTATTTGTGGGCAAGCAGTTTTACGCAAAAGTCCATTTACCAGCCATTACTTTATGTTT